AATACTGGATTTGGGTTTTTTTTGTCTTTAATCCATAATCATCAAAATTGAAACAAATAAAGGCTTGAAATATTTCACTTTGTGTGTAGTGAACTAATATAACATACAAGTTTCACTTTTTGAAACAAATTATTGAAATAAATGGACTTTTCCTTGATATTCTAATTTTTTGGCACATACCTGTATGTTAACGTTTCTTTTGGATCCAGTCAGTGTTTAGTTTTTGTAACGTGCCCTCTTCTTCATTTGACCTGTTTCTTCTTCATGTGTTCTTCTTCTCTGGTGTCCTGTGTTGCTCCTGCAGTCGACTGTGTGAAGCAGACTGTGCGCGGTCATGGCGTGAGGGGTCTGTACCGAGGTCTGAGCTCTCTGCTCTACGGCTCCATACCTAAAGCAGCTGTCAGGTACCGCAGCCCCACATCCCAACACACACGTGCACAGACACTCTTCACCAAGAGCTCCATCGTGCACTATATAAATGTGCAACACCTTATTCCCACTGTAATACACCTCCATGATGATTCCAGGTTGTACTGATCATTAGGTGCTGCTTTCTTTGTTTCTGAGTTCTGCAGCTGAATCAATCAGAAAATTAATTGACTAATTTTGATAATAAATTAATCGTTAAACCATTCTCTGGTTCCAGCTTCTCAAATGTGAAGATTTGCTGCTTTTCTGTTGAATATTATTATAATTTTAATGTGCGTGGATCATTTTTTGGCTGTTTTCTAACATTGTGTGCAACAAAGAGTTTAGCAGAAACCACAACTGATTAATTGCTAATAAGCCCAAATAAGATGAAACCGTTTTGTACATCAGTTGTAAACCAACCAATGAATAATCAATACTATCGACCGTCTGCAGATCGGTTTCATGGTTTGGTCTATAAAGTGTCAGAAAATAGGGGAGAATGTTCATGACGAGATACATCGACCAATCGTTTCAGCTTTGATGAGAACAGCGGTGCGTTGCCAGGTCGTACTTTTCTACAGTCCATAGTCCTGCAGCTACAGTTTGGTAATAAATTCATGCTCCTGTAGGTTCCGTTCTTTTTAATAAGCGGTCAGGTGTGCAGTTACAAACTAAGATCATTTGTTAGTAAATAGCTTTTTGTTGAAGCAGTGGTCCACTCACTCAGAGGGATTTTTCACAACCTGGCAACAAAAAGTAAATTGTGTAATAATATCTAAAATGTATTAGTAAAGGGCTTAGTAACGGTTCATATCGCTGATTGTTACAGCTTATAAAGCCTATATAAGGTGCATTATTACAGACATGGATTGCTTCCAGTGTTTTAATTCTCCATTGCTCTTCCAGGTTTGGGATGTTTGAGTTCCTCAGTAATAAGATGCGTGATGAGAGCGGCAAACTAGACAGCAAGCGAGGGTTCCTCTGTGGTCTTGGAGCTGGAGTCGCAGAGGCTGTGGTCGTCGTCTGTCCTATGGAGACGATTAAGGTAAAAATATTTGTTGAAGCTGCATTACCACTTTGTTGCCACATGTGGGAAGCAAAAGTCCTACTTTGTTACACATTAGACAGGTTGTACTGCAAACAGTTGCTGCGTTACACATCCAGCGCAGACGGAGCAGCCTTGGCTTGTGTCTACTCGATGAATGGGAGGCAAAATATAGTGCCAGAAAAATGAGTAGTGTTATTTTGATAACGTACACACATTTTACTGCGTTCTCTCATTAGAGCTGCCGTCACTTACGAGTTAATGATCATATTGTTTCAGGGTCATAGCAGTAGACAACCCATGGTGTCAGCGGTTACAGATGAATAAATAAGTAGCTCCGACAGAAGTGACTGATTCAGTCCACAACAAAATGAAAATGGGAAATGTTTGGCTGTGCTGAACTAAAAACCAGACCCCAGGAAAATCTTAACACGGTCCAGCCGTCTGCTTTCCTAAAAATGATTCTGGAGACTGTGATAAAACTGTTTCCAACACAACATCAAATATCTATAATGCTGCTTTGCCTCACGGTGGCGTTACTTGTAGAATTAGTTTTCAAAGCGCTCGATGCCTCAGATTTAAGGGCACTTTGACACTTTTTGTTGTCGTTTTAGGTCAAATTCATCCACGATCAGACGTCGGCAAACCCAAAGTACAAGGGATTTTTCCATGGGGTGAGGGAGATTATTAGAACTCAAGGTAAGGGACATTATACTCCCACCTCCCGTTTCATCTCCATCACTTAATGATTTGGCTGTACATGACATTACATCAAGCCTTTCTCATGGATTTGAGATAACACATCTGTTATTTAGCCTCCACCTTGTTGCTCCTGAGAATTAAATTGTTGGTGACTCTGAGATGAAGGTGGAGAGGTGTGAAAGCTGCTGATGTGTCTGCAGGACTGAAGGGGACGTACCAGGGCCTAACTGCCACTGTACTGAAGCAAGGCTCCAACCAGGCCATCCGCTTCTATGTCATGACTTCACTGAGGAACTGGTACAAAGGTGTGCGAGTATTTCCTTTAAATGCACATGCAACCACAAATGCAGAAACAGACTCAACTTAGTTTTTCCCCAACACTAAGGCGATGACCCCAACAAATCCATTAACCCTCTGGTAACTGGAATGTTTGGTGCTGTTGCTGGTGCAGCCAGTGTGTTTGGAAACACTCCCCTGGACGTCATTAAGACCAGAATGCAGGTTGGTTACAGAACATGTCGACTTCTTATAATTTAACCCTGAGTGTAGTGGCTAATATGTGCTCTGTGTAATTCAACAGGGGCTCGAAGCGCACAAGTACAAAAGCACAATAGACTGTGCCGTCAAGATCATGAGGCACGAGGGGGCGTTGGCGTAAGTTCACATGAAGGGTTGATATGATCGATGGGGGGATGACAGTCTGCATGTTTAATTTAGGCTGTGAGAGTTTGCAGCCTGCTAACACTGACAGTGGGACTTAGCCTTGTGCCTGTGAAGGATTCACACTGTTTACCCACCAGAATGCATCTGCCTGTATACCAGCAAGTAAGAATTAATGGAACAGTTCTATATTTGAGAAACACACTCTCACATCTGCACGTAATCCTAAAGCTGCTGAGTCAAGCAGCCCAAGGATCTTCAGTATTGTTTATTCAAGAAGCCCTCTTCTCTACACAGCCAACAGTTGACCTCAGAGTAGCATCCCAGTCAAACACTTCACTCTCTCTGTCTAGCAACACCTGACTAATGCTTCCTGCCTTTATGCCGAGTTCCTCGCAGCCAAAAGGTGACACCCTATGAACAAGCTGGTGAACTAGAAGTACATTAACCACTCTATCAAAGTTGAGCTATGGTCAGGAAACAGTTAGCTTAGCTTAGCTTAGCAGAAAGACTGGAAGCAGTGGGCAACAGCAAACCTGGCTCTGCCCAAAGATAACAGAATGTACTCTCCTTTTATTGCACTCAGGTTCTACAAAGGTACTGTTCCCCGGCTGGGTCGGGTGTGCATGGATGTGGCCATAGTCTTCGTTATCTACGAGGAAGTCGTGAAGGTTCTGAACATAGTCTGGAAGACGGACTGAAGTGAACACCACAGTGCTGCGCAAGCAGGAGTGTGAGACTGGCCAGTCACGTTGTTAACCAGGCCACGTCCCAAACCAATCTCCTGAAACCCTGCTTCTAGGTTCTAATATCTACCTCTCAGAAAGAAAGGGTATTTTATTTATAACACAGATGTTGCGAGTGGAAGCACTGTCTGCGTGAAAGAAGCTGCAGGATCACTGCTTACACTTGGTCTTTTTTCTAAAGTTCCAGAAGGGGGAAGTTCCTTAAGACCTCAGGGAGGGGAACAGGGCGTTTATTTAGACCTGCACAAAGACCTGCAGCGCTTTGAGTTGAGTTGTACTAGTGCTGTGTGTACTTGATCAAAGAGAAACCATCACCTGACCTGACATAATGTGATTTAAGCACTACAGACAAAAAAATACTTGAGCAGAGGTAGGTAGATGGATATTTTATTGATCTCGAGGGAAATTCAGGTGTACTGGCTTCAGATTTTATTAGATAACAAATACTTCCAAGCCCTTCTTATATGCAAGTATTCCAGTTTCTTTTTTCAAAAGACTGTTCAAAACTATTATTTTATTCACTACCTGTTGGAAGAATTAATGTTCACATGCTGCAGAGGAATAAGAACTAAATGCCTTCAATCACAATTGTCAAATGAATCAATACAGATCTGTAGGCTGCAGTTTTTAATGATGTGTATTCAGCTACGAAACAATGGTTGAGGTGGTGGCGATTCTTTAAATCACTTAATTTGTTAGTGTTATTAAAAAAGTGCCTTTGTGTTACATGGTTTATTGGAGATTAACAATGATTGAATGTTTTATGTTACTTCTTCACTGTGGATGGTTTTTTAGTTTCTCACGCTGCAGTGGTGCCAGATGTTGAAGATGTTCATATCTTATTAATTCAACTGTTTTGGGGAATTATTTGCTTCTAATTTTTAAATTGCCTTTGCTGCTTAGACGTGCTTTTTTGAGAAATGCCATTAATGGTGCCTTTCATTGCATTCCACAGAGCACGAGTGATTAGCTTTGCTTTTATTGCAGCCTTTCAGATTCTCTTCTTTTAACTGTGCTGTAACTTCAATTGCCTTTCACCCAATGTGCCAACTGCTGCATTTAGATACAATATAACTAATGCCATGTTATAGACTGTAGTTTGTCCTCCTGGTTTAAATGCAGTGCACCACAATCTTTGTCTAGGATGCACAATGTTTACTTTGAGCTCCGTTTTTCAGCTGGCGGAGATAGTTGAATGTCTTTGGGGTTTTCATATTTAAAAACACTGGTACTAAACCCAGCGCTGTGCCTTCAGTCTAATTAATTCGAATGTATGATCACAAATAAACATTGGATCTGACTGTTGACATTGATGTGTTCATTTCTGCAGCAGTGGGTTGTAACAAATGTACTCGAGTACTATGCTTAAGTGTAATTCTGAGGTACTGCTACTTAAGTATCATCTTTGCTTATTTGTATTTCATATCAAAATAATGTGTGCTTTACTGTATTTTATTTATTTGAGAACTTTATTTACTAGTTGCTTTACAGGTAAACAGTGTACAAACAAAACATTTATAAAATGTGATGCCTTGTTACAGATTAAACCACCACAGTGTGTACAGATAGAAATAACTTTCTGAGACTCGACTGCCTCAGAAAATTATTTGGAAGGATTGTACAATTTAACTTTTAGCAGTTTGATGAAAACAGGGCCGTGATTCATATATTCTACTTATAGTAATTGTTTGGGGGGGATTGCATGGTGACCTTGCGGCGCATTTTTGTCCCATTCGCTTGCCGTAGTTGTCAGTTGCGGACTCCTCTTCGGGGCGAATGATAGAAAATGCTTGTTTAAATTAAGGCATCCTTTAAAAATGTCTCATCATGGAGGAGGAACCAGGGGCTTTTACTTCAGCACCGTCTTGTCTTTGGCCCGGTCGCTGGCAGCTCACCGGCAGGCGCCGTTAGAAAAGGTACCGTTATACATGGCGATCGCTAACGACAGCACCAGGCTAACACCTCCTGTCGTTAGTCTCTGACATTGGTCTCGACACAGCTTCGTTTTTCTACATGTGTGGTATTTACAGGGAATCTGAACACCGTAAACGTCTTGTATGAATATGTGAATTACGTGTTCAGTTTGTGATTTAGTGCGACTCAGCTTTAGAATGTGGCTAACGGCGGCTAACGTTAGCAGGTTTATCCTTAATGAATCTTCCTTTGGCTTGTTGATGTCCTGATACATTAAAGGAAGGAAAGTTGTCACATCGTCCCAAATATGTTCCTGTTCCCTTGGAAATGTGCTTTTCTTAATATTGTTACCTCATTCATACAGGATGCAATAGGAGACAGTGGCTGGTGGGATTTTAACATAAACACAAACTGTATAATTCAATTATTATAAAGGAAAAGTCTAAAACGATGAAGTCTTTACCAAACGACAAAGAAGTGCTGCAGTCCTGTGCCATTTAATCCGACTGCAGCCCAGATGCATCAGTTAGTTACTGGATTCACTGATCAGCTCAAGAGTAATGGGCAAATATTTAGGTAACTAAGGTTTTTTAAATTCTAAATGTGATAATTAGCTGCTTTTCTTGGTTTTACATGATTGAATTATAGCTGCAGCTACTTGGTCTAAGAAACCAGGTTCCTTAAACACAAAGTGGCGTCATAGGATTGTTTTTGTGTGACAAGCATTTCAGTTCATTGACACAGAAGACAATGAAAACCAGAAAGTCTCGTACTGTGTTGGGTGGAACAGGATCACAGGTGGGGTTTTTACAGAATACCTTAGAAATTCATTTTTACCACTATCATTGCAGATTAGTTTTGTGTGGGCTAATTGATTAATCAACTAATAATTGCAGGTCTAAATGCAACAAGTCACCTCAGCCTTGGGGACATTGTGATGGCTGTTCTTTCACTGGGGAAATGTTAAACGGGAACTAAGTCCTGTTATGAAAGAGCTGTGGAAGCAGTAATGCAGCTCAATGAGCAGGGTTTGTTGGGTCAGTTTGTGGAAGCTGTTCAGAGACCAGCCTTCTGCTTTTTACTGTCTACATACGAGCTTGTTATGAAGAGCAGTGTAATCAGAAGCATCAACCTAATGTAAGGTGCAACTAACCATTAATCATTATTGATTCATCTGCTGATTGTTTTCTCAATAAAATGGTGAAAAACTGTTATTTACCCCGAAGTGAGTCTTCACATGACTTGTTTCCATTGGTTGAGTTGGTGCCACAGATGGCTGCCTCGGTTCTGTACTGGAAACGAGTTCCTTGTGTGTAACATACTTGGCCAATAAAGGTGATTATGAACGTGACAAAGAACGGCGTCAACTTGTCACATGTCTGCACCTGGCATCAGCAAATGTTTGGCATCCATGCCTGTTCATGTTCAGTTGGTTAACTGATTGATTGATTGGCTAATAATCTGTGTTCTAACCCTATACATATTTACAGAGATTAGTTTCTGAACAACTGGGTGTGCTTTAGCGCGTGGGCCTCACTGTTTATACAGTGACTTCCTGTCAGTGGGAGTCAGAACAACCTTGTGTTTTACTGGCTACACAATCAGGTTGTAATGGAAGTGTCCTGTTGGTTCAACGTTTACTGGCTGGTGGTGTCCGAGCGGGTTGAGGTTGAGCTCTGGCGCACAGCTGGTTGAAAACACATTTCATTACTGTTTTGGCACTGAAAAACAAACCAGACTTGACAGGAATATTTATTTCTTAAGGTCCATTGTTGATATTTTTTCCAATGCAGATGTAACCTGAACAAAACTCTCCTCATGCCCAATGATCAGCTCAAAACATCCTCTGCATCCGGTGCTGGATCAACATGTAGGAACTAGTGTGTTTAAGTGGTTGTTAATCCCCCTCTGGTCTTAACTCTTTAGCATTAAGCTAATTAATGCCAGAGGCTGCTGTTTGGCTTCATTCCTGAAGTCCATTTAGGCCGACACAGTCATTATTGCCAATGGAACTAGGCATGAATGATGTGCCTGTTTAATCCTTGCGGGCAGGTTGGTTCTGTACTTTTAGAAAAGACTGTGTTGTCCACGTAGCTCACTGAAGTCTAGAGGCGTTAAAGGTAATGGTAGCTGAGCACCGTGTGTTGGTTTTCCACAGGTCCAGAAGCTCCAGTGCATGTGCCCTGCAGACTTCAGAGGAGTCTTCCAGCTGGATGAGAGGAGGAGGGGTGCCGTCATTGCACTGGGCATTTTTCTAGTCGAGTCAAACCTGCAGGTGAACATTTCACCTACCAACTCCTCCACCTCATGAGACTTTTGTGCTGTTAGTACATTTACAGGTCGTTGATGTAGCAGTGGTAACCCATATATCAAGCTATGGAATACTTGTGTTGCAGCACAGAGATGCCATTGTCCCCTACCTGCTTGGGTTGCTTAAAGGGCTTCCTAAAGTTCAGTGGATTGAAGAAAACTCAGAACACAAAGCTCGAGGTAAAGATAGACCCGCGGCGATATTTAACGTACCCTATAATGTTCACTGATAGAACTATGGGCTATTCTGCCTGCTAAAATATTTGACACTGTTGTATTTTGATATTATTTGTGTGAACTTCCTGCCTTGCAGAAACCCTTCCTGTTGCAGAGAACTTCAGCTTTTGTCTTGTAACACTGCTCTCCGATGTCGCCCAGCGTGATGAGACCTTACAAGGACAGGTGTGTGTGTCTGTACCGTTCTGTGGTCACGTTTTATTTTAGGCTGGTTTGAGATGAGCCAGGCCTCTGCAGAATCAGTCGTTCAAATGTGGGACCACATCAGGTTTTATGTACTGTTAACTTTTCCTTTTTGTTTAATTGTAAATGGTCTGCTTTTATCCTTTGTGTATAATAAGGTTTACTCTGTTAACAGATTAAGTTAAAGACTTGTTGTTGATGGCAACTTTTATGAGCCTAGAGAAGCTTAGTAAGATATCCCAGGGTATTAACTGAGCTGGATAACACCTGTACAGACTGATGCTAAGCTCAGACGGTCTAGTTATGTCTGAAATGTCAATCAACTGTGAGGATATGTAAGAGCTAAACAGCGTGTCATGATTCACACATATAGGGCATTTCATTTGAGACTGACTAAAAGTTAAAGATGGGACTAATGGATAACATTTTGTTGGTCATTTTAGGATCTGATAGATGTTGATGAGACTTTCTGGACTGCTGTCCAACTTTACTGCAGTTTTTTGTCACTTCCCCAGAAAGAACCACCTGTCTCTCATTTTTTAGCAAAGCAAAATTCACCTTAAATGAGCCTAATATTTTTACTGATGTGGATGTGATGATGCAACATCTTTGCCAGATCCTGGAGGCTGTCATGGACGTCATGCAGGTGCTGCAAGACAGCTGCAAGAATCCCGAGGCTCATGATAAAGGTGGCAATATAACAAACTCTAATGCTTCCTCTGTGTGTTACTAGCTATTTATATTTTCTACGTTCTGTACGTTCTTCCGTACAGAATACCTGTGCAGGTACACTGTGCCCACTCTGCTTGGTGTGGCCCGAGCTTTTGGCCGATACAGCAACACCGATGAGCCACTTCTCTCCAAGCTCTTCCCTCGACCAGTTGCTCCTGTGCTGCCTACGGGTGATGACAGTGATGCCACCCGCCGACGGTCCTTCAACGACTTCCGCTCCATCCTGCCCAGCTCTTTGCTCACCGTGTGTCAGGGAGACTCCCTGAGACGAAAAGGCTCCTTGGTGTCCAGTGTGTCACAGCAGGTATGAAGAGTGAGATGACCCACCTATGACCTGCGTAGAGGTGAGGAAGCACAGCCATATGTTTTCACACTTCTTTTTGTTTTAAGGCCAGCCCAGAAAGAGCAGCTGTGACCCCTAGCTCACCGGCTGATCCCTCTGCACAGTACTTTGAAAGTAAGTTTCAACGAGCCTTTTGGGCTGTCAGAAAACACCATGGACTCACTGGACATGCTTTAAATAGATACCGTTGCTCCCCTCAGGCTCATACCTCCCTGACAGCAGTGCAGTGGACCCTGATTACTACTTCTGCACCATCAGCTCCAGCTTCTCTCTCTCACCTCTTTTCACTGGAAACAGCTCTGGAGAGTTTTATGTCCCTCTGGAGATGCTCAGACAGCTCCTTGACATGGTCAGCACTGACCCCACTGAATAAGCACAATGAAAGGAATACATGCGACTCTGCTGTTTACAAAGTCAGACTCATTTGTCTATTTGTTCATTTGTCTATTTGTCTTGAATAGTTTCAGCAGTTTGTCTCTGAGTCTTTTTTAAAATCACTGGATAAGACCTTGGCAGAACTTCTGGAGGTATAACTCTTCAGTACACACAAACGGTGGATTTGTCTGCCCTTTTTCTGACACCGCTAGCTCAGTTTTATTTCTTTTCTTTCTTGGCAGTTGCATCCTGGTCTTCACTTGCATTACAAAACCTTCAGCGATCCTCTGTATGTAGCCATATTTAAGATGCTCAGGGACAGCCTGTACAATCTGAAAGGTGAGGAACATTTTCTACCTTCTTTCTTCAGCACCACGGTGTTTACTGACTGAAGCAGTAACCACATATCCTCTGTGCTCATAGATGTTCAGACAGACTATGTGAAGGAGGTTCATGACTTTGTGCTGGAGCAGTTCAGCAGCAGCCAGTCGGAGCTGCAGAGGATCCTGCACGATGTCGAGTACCTCCAGAGCGAGCTGAGCCCGCTCAAGCTGCGCTGTCAGGCCAACGCCGCCTGCGTGGACCTCATGGTGTGGGCTGTCACTGAGGAGCAGGGTGAGGCTTTGGCTCATTCATACAGGAAGTAACCATCCATCATAGAAGTCTTCGCTGCATCATTTCTCTGTTTGATTGTTTGTTTGTTCAGGAGCTGAGAACCTTTGCACCAAACTGTCAGAGAAGCTGCAGTCGAAGACGTCCAGTAAAGTCATCATCGCTCACATGCCCCTCCTCATTTGCTGCTTACAGGTAAAAGTTTTCAGCTTATCTTTTTATCCACCTTCCTTCTTCTCCTTCAGCTGCCTCCTTGACACATAAAGAAGAGGAGGGATGGCACAGATTGAGAGAAGTTGTTCTTTCCTGTTTAGTTTTTGATTTTGTTAAACAGGTTAATCGGGTCACAACATCTCGTAGGTGAAGAGGAATCAACATTTCATCTATTGTTGTTTTTTTTGTAATAAATCTGTCAGCACGATTCATTACCTGTTCAGGGCCTGGGTCGCCTGTGTGAGCGCTTTCCTGTGGTGGCCCACTCTGTCACCACGTCACTGAGAGACTTCTTGGTGGTTCCCTCTCCTGTGCTGGTGAAGCTGCACAAGTACCACAGCCAGTGCACAGCAGGTAACGGCAGAACACTCAGCTCCATCGCTGCATTTCCATTCACTGTTCTCTTACGCAGTGATCATTTTCCGAAGGGGGTGGAGAGATAAAGATCCACGTGACCAACGAACATTCCCAGTCCACCCTCAGCACCAGTTCTAGCAAGAAGAGCCGGCCCTCCATGTACGAACAGTTACGGGACATCTCCATAGATAACATCTGCAGGTGAACACACTCACATAGACGCTTGCCCAGCACATGCACACGCTCGTATCAACATGAGGTCTACTCCCTGATCCCACCTTCTGTCCTCAGGTGCCTGAAAGCAGGGCTGACTATGGATAATATCATTGTAGAAGCTTTTCTCGCCAGTCTGTCTAACCGTCTCTACATCTACCAGGAAAATGACAAGTAAGTCAATCATCCTGTTGTACTGACTTGGACGAAAATGAAACGACCTGAGAGCATTTAGACTTCCCCTCTGTTCCCCGCTGTTCCCCAGGGATGCCCACTTGATCCCCGATCACACCATCAGGGCTTTGGGCCACATTGCTGTGGCGTTGCGGGACACCCCCAAGGTCATGGAGCCCATCCTGCAGATCCTACAGCAGAAGTTCTGTCAGCCTCCATCCCAGCTTGATGTCCTCATCATAGACCAGCTGGGCTGCATGGTCATCACAGGCAATGTCAGTGCTTCGATTTCTAACGTCACTATTATTTATTAAAACTGTCAGTTGCAGCTTTTTAATCTGTAGTTTTAGAACAGATCCAACTATTTTCCTTTCTCTCTTACTGTAGCAATACATCTACCAGGAGGTTTGGAATTTGTTCCAGCAGATCAGTGTCAAGGCCAGTTCCATGGTCTACTCCACCAAAGACTACAAGGACCATGGATACAGGTCTGCTGTACTGCCTTATCTGACACTTTAGAGTTGTTGACTACATGAGACAGTGGCAAAAAAAACTTTGTAAGTAAAGCTTTATTTCGTACATGAGATAGTGGCACAAAAACTTTGTAAGTAAAGCTTTATTTCTGTAGCATTTTTAACCAAAGCTGCAGAGGATTTGGCACTAGGGCCAATCATAAACCTCTGTGTTATCCTCATGTAACGGAGGATGTCTTGAGACATCCAGGCAGCCATTTCATGTGAGACAGTTCACTGAGATTGTCACATTTGACTAAGACATACAGCGTCATCAGCACAGAAATGAAGTGGGAAACCGTGCTACTGCCTGTAGGGAAGTGTCATTCACAGTTTGTCCAGAACATGTAAATGAATGTTCCCTGTCCCTGTGTAGACACTGTTCCCTGGCCGTGATAAATGCTCTTGGAAATATAGCAGCCAACCTTCAGACTGAGCAGATGGTTGATGACCTGCTGGTCAACCTGCTGGAGCTTTTTGTTCAGCTTGGCTTAGAAGGCAAGAGAGCCAGTGAGAGAGCCTCGGACAAAGGGCCAGCGCTGAAGGTATGGTGCACACAGACACACACACGTAAGCAATGAGGCTGCAGTTTTAGCAGCTGTGGTGCTGCAAGAAAAAAGTGTTTTGTCCCACGTTTTCCACACTCAGTGTGACACATAAATTCAAATGTACATTCCAGGTTGAATATCTTGTAGCTCTCGACATGTTCAGCCGTGCAGCCATACTCACTCATGGTTTTTCATTTTTCTGGCTTCCTGCTTTCTCTGTAGGATCCATTCAAACACCGTAAGACTTAATAAGACATCACCATATGACGATTTTATATTGACTTGTGAAAGTTAGTTCTGCTACTTTGAGGCTCGTCTTTGACTCGGTTCACTGTTTACAAAGCAGTTTGACCAGGTTGGTTGCAAACATGGGTGTTTCATGCAGCATATGTAAATTAATATGGTTGACACACACCCGTTTGCCTGCTCCATTGCCAGTTTTAGTGTGTCTCAGAGGTACAAAGGGTCTTCTCCTCCAATGGAGTCCAAATCCACCCTCTTCTTCTTGACAGGAGGAATTTAGTTCTTTTCTACCTTTTAGGAAAAATGAAATAAACCTTTCGAGGTTCCTCTGATTGTCCTAATGTGTCACTGGAGAACTAATTCATTTCCCCTTCATTTTTTGTTTCCCCAGGCATCAAGCAGTGCTGGAAACCTCGGTGTCCTTATTCCAGTTATTGCAGTGGTGCGTGTTTGGACATCAGTGATTTCTTTACCTTCTTGAGTCATTGGATTTTAACATCTCTTTGTCAGTAGAAATGTAGCACATAATTTTCACTGCCTTGGCCTCCAGATGCTCCTTAGGGTCATATTAACCTTAATAACTTCCAGAGATCTGTCCTCTCTCTTCTTCTGCTGTTAGCTGACTAAGAGGTTGCCACCAATCAAGGAAGCAAAGCCACGTCTGCAGAAGCTCTTCAGGGACTTCTGGCTCTACTCTGTGGTCATGGGATTTGCAGTGGAAGGCTCAGGTAGAGAGTTTCATTCATTATCTATGCTGCTCACCCCGCAGAGGGTCGTGGGCCTCACTGGGCGAGAGGTGGGGAACATCTGGACAGGTGGCCAGTGTGTCACAGGGCTGGTAGCGAAAGTTTTCCCACTGATATTCTGCTCTTTTGCTGTTTCCACTGCACGCCTTTATCACCCCCAGGAATATAAACCTAACTCCAGTTCAGGTCTCTCATACGTGAGCGTACATACAGAGAATTTGTTGTTGTTGAAATCTTCAGGTCTGTGGCCAGAGGAGTGGTATGAAGGAGTTTGTGAGATAGCAACCAAATCACCGCTGCTCACATTTCCCAGTGGAGAACCATTACGCTCAGAGCTGCAGTACAACTCTGCACTGAAGAATGACACCGTCACTCAGGTATGAGACGCACTGACGTGTATCCACACACACACACACACTCACACACGTACCACACCTGACATCAGTTTATGGTTCACTGTTGACCCATAGGCTGAGTTGAATGATCTGCGCGGTACCATTAGCAACCTGCTGGATCCTCCTCCTGAGGTGGCTGCTCTCATCAACAAACTAGACTTTGCCATGTCGACATATTTGCTGTCTGTTTACAGACTGGAGTACATGAGGTAAGCCACCATGATGTCCACTTAGTACCCGCCGCCTCATGTGCTTGGCTGTGTTCAGTAGTTGTAGGTGTAACCTTCATTCTGTTATGTTTCCTCGCTATCTGTCAGGATGCTGCGTTCTCTGGACTCGGATCGCTTTCAGGTCATGTTTCGATACTTTGAAGACAGAGCCATACAGAAGGACAAGTCTGGTAAAATGAAACCTACTAGAAAGACACGGTTTTGCTTGTTATTGTATGAAGTAATATCAACCTGATTCTTTCCAGGCATGATGCAGTGTGTGATAGCTGTTGGCGACAAGGTGTTTGAGATCTTCCTGCAAATGATGGCTGAAAAAGTAAGGGAGATGTTCTCACTTAAGAAAACTCGTATCCTATTGGAGTGCATTTTGATTCTGGCCCTGTTTCTTTTTTGGCAACAAACTATCAAATTACATTTGTTAAAGGACTGCACTGAGATTTTGTGTCAGTAAAGTGGCACAGTCAGTTTATTTGAAGATGTTCATGTTTAGAGGTGAAAAGTATATGAGAAGGAAATGAAAACGGATGCACAGGCAGAGGAAACTGTGTAACATTTCACATCTGGGAGAAGCAGTTGTACATATGAGACAACATCAGATATGCTCTGGATAACGGAGACTTCCCGTGTCCTAACAGTGACATAGTAAAGTTCAGAACTAAAAGCACTAGTGCAGTGAAGAGCATTGCATCAAATTAAAACATTATAAACCCACTTCACAGTAGCCTGGTGTGTCCTAACATCACATATCATTTAAACTGAATACTTTGGGGTTTTCAGTTGTAATTCAAACAAAAAAAAAGACATCTGAACTAGATTACGATAATTTCTGACGATTTAGACCAAATGATTCCTTTATAAACTGAGAAAATAACCTGCATGTGAATCAGTAATGACTAATCAGAACTAATATTTATAAATGATTATTTTTCAGCCAAAAACCAAGGCCCATGAGGAGGAGCTAGAACAACACGCTCAGTTCCTCCTGGTCAACTTCAACCACATCCACAAGAGGATCCGGAGAGTGGCTGACAAATATTTGTCTGGCCTGGCTGAAACGTAAGCTCAGAAATCCACAGTGGCTCTTCAGGAAGCAGTTTAAACACAGCTTCATACCCAGCTGTGTCATGTTCTCTTTCTTTCCAGTTTCCCCCACTTGTTATGGAGCGGCCGAGTGCTGAAGACCATGTTGGACATCCTGCAGACTCTCTCGCTGTCGCTCAGCGCAGTAAGAGATGTTCAGCAGTGTATCAGCTTTGTTTCACTGTAGTGTTGACTGTGACATTAACAGTGACCACTATGCTGTATCGCAGGACATCCATAAAGACCAGCCGTTCTACGACATCCCAGACACGCCCTACAGAATCACTGTCCCAGACACGTATGAAGCCAGAGAGGTAACTTTATTTTAATGTTCCTTCGTCAGTACTCACCACTGTACACTTTGTCTCAGCGTGAATGTGTGACTTAAAATGATCATAAAAGAAATGTGATAAAAGTGGCCGTTTTAAACAAGCCACCTATAAAAACCATGTTGTGTCTTTACCTGTAGAGCATAGTGAAGGATTTTGCAGCTCGTTGTGGGGAGATCCTTAAAGAGGCCATGAAGTGGGCTCCGTCTGTGACCAAGTCCCACCTGCAGGTAACGTTTATTCTGAGATACAAAAGGTCCACATGTAGAGCACACATTACACACCAGGTTTGCCTGGTGGCTTTAACATCTGTTAAAGAACATTTGTGTATTCTTGTCCTAATTTTTGTTTCTCTGAATGAAATGTTCCAGTTGAATTGACCAAACTCTCTTAACTGCACAAACTTGTATATTACTCATTGCAGATTAACGCACACCACTTGTTTAATCAGCGCCCCTAGAATCACCACATAAGGACTTCACAAAAATGTCGAACAAGACTAAAAAGTCTTTGCATCTGCAGTCATAAATGAGCAAAGTCAGACAGAGAAGATGCTCCTAGTCCATGTGTTAGTGACGTGTCCTCAGAGCAGCTGCACAGTTGAGGCCACATGAACCTCGACACTTAACCTCTTGACAAATATGATAATAAATCATCTCTCAGTAAACTCGCAGCCATGATGAGGATATGATGAACAAAGTTTATTTAGAACAAGGTTTGTTATATACTGTTCAATTAAACCAGTGCCAGTAAAATGGTTAAACTTCCAAACTGTTCAGATGAAACCAGTATAATGCTTAAGTCAAACCAGTGTGTTTCCATCTGTCTGTTCAGGGCTCGAACCACAGATTCTCTTAAATCTCTTTCAGGCTCCACGTCATACAACTGTTTCTTCCACAGGGACCATTGTTTTAACCTCATCTTTTTCAGGAGTACCTGAACAAACATCAGAACTGGGTGACGGGTCTGTCCCAGCACACGGGCCTGGCCATGGCCACAGAGAGCATCCTGCACTTTGCCGGCTACAACAGACAGAGCGCCACTCTGGGGGTGAGTCTCAAACTCACAGCTTGCTTAAGAGCCAGAATATTTGAGAGAACAGTGTAAGTAATGAATCTACAGTCAGTCACAGTCCATATGCTTCATGTGGAACTTCATGTCTTCACCTTTAGTCCACTCAGTTGACTGAGAGGCCGGCCTGTGTGAAGAAGGACTACTCGAACTTCATGGCCTCCCTCAACCTCAGGAACAGATATGCTGGAGAGGTAAACCACCCCAGTTATTACCATCTGTGCTCAGATGCTCTCTGTTATCCCCGGTACTGTGTTTGAATTCAACTAAAGTTAAAGATCAACTAGTTGATCTCACTTACTCATTATTTCTCTGTTTCTGTTGTCAGACAGTGGAGCGAGTCTGAAAAAGTTATTTCATCGTGGCTGATATGTTCTGTGTTCACCCACACTGCCGTGTTTGGCAAAGTAAACATACATGTTACTGACAACAGCTGTGCTAAATGATTGGCTGTACTGACATATGAGAGCTCACAGGGTGTCTGTTAGCACATGAGCTGTAAAGGTGGATTCTGTAAGTCTGATGGTTAACAGGTGCATCTTAGTTTGTTAACAAACAGCTTGTTGGAGCGGTAACAGAGGCATGTCATAGATGTCACTCCACACATCCAGCTCCAGTGGCTACAAACTAATAATAACTAGTGCATTTCTCCTGCTCATGCTCCCTGTGTTGTCTCTAGGTTTCAGGTATGATCCACTTCGCCCAGGAAGTGCGGGGACAGTCCGATCTGAGCCGGATTATGATCAAGCAGATGGAAGAGGCTCTGGACTCTGCAAGGGCTGAAGCGTTCACTGAAATCATGTTCAAACTGGCTGCCTTGCTCATCAGCACCAAAGGTTTGACTTTTCCTTGCCGGTGGGATGTGATGCTTGCTCTGGATATAGTCAGGACTTGTTGTCTGACTGATGCTGTGTGTCCCCCCTCTGACTGGTCTCCAGACTGCGATCCTCAGCTCCTACACCACCTCTGCTGGTCCCCTCTCAAGATGTTCACAGAACATGGCATGGAAACAGCTGTTGCCTGCTGGGAGTGGCTGTTGGCAGCTCGTGCGGGACTGGAAGTACCGGTACAAAGATGTGTTTGCATGTTTTTTCTTTATTCTGTCTTGTCATTGCATTTGCATTGTAAACAAGCTTTCAATCTCCTCTCTTACTGCCCAGTTTATGCGAGAGATGGCGGGAGCGTGGCAGATGACCGTGGAGCTGAAGATGGGATTGTTCTCAGATGCTCAGGTGGAGGCTGATCCGCTGGCTGCATCAGAGGAAAGTCAGCCTGTCCCCCGCCCCCCAGATGTTACACCTCACCACATATGGATTGAGGTCAGACTAAAGACGCTGCTTTGGTTGTTCCGACATGTTCCTCTCAGTCTTCTTCCCCTCCACTTATTGCTGTCTTTTATCTGCCTTTTCCCCTCCAGTTTCTGGTCCAGAGGTTTGAGATAGCGAAGTATTCCAGTGCAGATCAGGTGGAGATCTTTTGCAGTTTGGTTCAGCGCTCACTGTCTCTCAACGTAGGTGGGGCGAAGAGTAGCCTCAACCGCCACGTAGCCACTATTGGACCTCGTTTCAGGTGCACAAAGAAGATCTGTGTAAAATCGCTTTGTGTCACTTGCTATCTGTTTAATCTTTCAGAAGGTTTCACTATGAAACGTATTTAAAAAAAGAGGTTTTAATGATGCACATTGTTAAGATAAAAATTACTGTGCTGCAGGGTGTCTGTGTGTAATGATGTTATTTCTCCTTTTTCAGGCTGCTGACTCTGGGCCTGGCTCTGCTCCACTCGGACGTCGTCACCAATGCAACTGTGAGAAACGTTCTCAGAGAGAAGATCTATTCTACAGCCTTTGATTACTTCAGGTACATACACACATTACTGTGCTGCAGGGCTGCAGCAAGCAGTCACTCATTTACCTACTGTTTCTTCAGTTAGGACATAGTCTTCATCATAGTGCTTATTTTCTCCAAACAACAGCACAAACCCAAAGAGATTGAGGTGACAGAAGAGCAGCACACCCTTATTGGCACCAGTAAACATCAGGTGTTTTTGTTTGATAAAGTATAAAATATTTACCACATGTTTGATAATTATTGATATGACTGAGTGTCTCTGCACAGGTCATATTGCTTCTTTGGAATATATTGTCGCTGTCCTCTAAAAACCATGTACAGTACACCACATTTGTGAGTTAGAATGTCTTTAATAAACCTACTAAGTCCTAAAGTGGAGTTGAAAGTATCTGCAAGTGTGTGCAAGATGTAAATATCCTCACCTGCCCATGTCTGTGAGGGTTCACACAGAGACCACCTGTGTGCTGCCCAAAGTTTAGGACTGTGAATGGATCCAGCTACGCAGATACTTAAACCAAACCACTCGTGTGTCAGTGGACTGTGTCTACCTCTTAAACATTTTGTATGGGTGGAGACACCGGGGGGTTTCTTAGGTTAAATGAACCATTTAAAAATCCATTACTAGGGTAAAAACAAATGTTTTTCTTCAGTTACACAAAGTCGACATTGTGGAGATTGTAAAAGACAGCGACCATATTTTTTATTGACTCACAAAGGACACAGTATCAGTTCAGAGTCTGAACTGCACAGACGGTTTGTAAAAACAAACCGAACTGTACTAAAAAGAACTAACTCAGATCCTGATTCTCTCTATTTTTTCTCTCTCCAGTGTGGCTCCAAAGTTTCCCACCCAAGGTGACAAATGGCTCCGCGAAGACATCAGCATCATGATCCGTTTCTACGCCAGCATCCTGTCTGACAAGAAGTACCTGGCAGCGTGCCACTTGGTCCCACCTGGTGAGCTTGGTACCACCCCGGCCCCGAGCACACTCTCTGTCGGGATATTTGGATCGCTTATCATGTCCAGCACTTCTCCAATATCTATCTTAAGTAAGCCTAAAGCGGTGGAGCTCGGACTGCACCGCAGCAGGGGCATGCTTTTACGCCTGTCAAATGTGATGCTGTTTATCCTCACGACGCTGCTGATAGATCCCAGCATCGATCTGTGGTACAAACCTAGCTTTTTAATTCTCACACTTTTTGTTCCTTTTACTCATCATATTATTACAATCAGTCTGTTTTTACCTTGATATTTAGCAGCTGTGAGGAAAAGCACAAATTTGTCAGCTGCGTTAAGATGCATGGTTGTTCATCATGTCAGCCCACCTGTCTGCCCCTCTCTTCAATTGACCAGTTTTGTTTCAAAAGAAGAAACTAATACAATGAAAAATACTTTTCTTCCATCCCAGAAATTCCTCTCCTCTTCATTCCCGGTGAACCCGCAAAAAGCCATGGTCTCATTCTCATGTACATCGAACCGCTTCAGGTAGACGAGTCCTCTGACTGCAGATCCTGGATCAGATCAATCTGCTCCTAGTCGCACGCGCATTAACAAGGCAAAATAATATCTGACCCAGAATCAGTGGTTCAAGGCAACTTCTACCTACATGTAAATCCAACTGGATTTTCCTGCAAATGCATGACAAGCAGCAGAGGACTAAGTGATGCAGTTCATCTCGCTCTTCAAAATCCGCACCATCGATCATATTTTTGATGTTTGTCACTATTTAGAAATCAGCATTGATTCAGGGGAATATTATGTGCGTAAAAAACGCAGACCTGTGAGTTCTCTTGTCAGAATTAACCATGTGAAAGGTGCATCTCTTATTTTGAGACCAGTTGACGTTACAGTTTGTATGTGCGTGATCTGAACTTGTTCCTGTGTATACAGATAATCAGGACCCGTCCCTGAACAGTCTGTCAGTGATGAATGCTGCTGACCTCAGGAGCAACCTGGACTCCAGCTCTCGCTCCCAGCAGAGCAGCCAGGGATGGATCAACACCTACCCGCTGTCCAGTGGCATGTCCACGACATCCAAGAAATCAGGTAGCGTCTGAGCTATAACAATACAGAGACAATAGGCCTTTCTCAATACAGGGTCAGCCGAGCTCAGATTGGCATCCTCGGGAGTTTAACCTTGGAAAGTTGAACTCGAAAGCCTAAACTCCACATACAGCACATCAGCCGTAAACCTCCAAAGACTGAGAGCACATTACAGCTTAGCACCAAACAGTAGACAGACAAAGTTAGGTCTTATGTTTAAAATTCCTCAGAGACATCAGTCTCACTGGACAACTGAGATAAAACTGAGTTGGGAGCCCGGCTCACATTCTTCATCATCACTGCTGCTTGGTGTGAAATAATCTCTTATGTACTTGTCACATGAGTTAGCGCCCAGAATAGCTTTGACAAAACACTTGGATAGGAACAGGTACAAACTGGAACATTAACTGGGCTGTGAGTAAGAGACAGACGCTCACATGATAAAGACCTGAGGACTTCAGCTGACAGAGCAGACTCAACTCTCCGTTCTGCTTCTCGTGCTAGGCACGTCCAAGAAGAGCAACAGGGGGACGCAGCTTCACAAATACTACATGAAGCGCAGGACTCTGCTGCTGGCCTTACTGGTGAGTGCTGAGAAGTTTGGCTCCACTCTTGATGCCTGCTCCTCATCAGCCAGTCACCACATTCTCTTCCCCTTCTCTCTGTCGGTCCAGGCCAGTGAGATTGAACGGCTGACGACGTGGTACAACCCGCTCTCCACTCAGGAACTGGCCATTGCCACAGAGCAGTCAGTGGAGACCAGCATCGCCAACTGGAGGTCCAAGTACATCAGTCTCACGGAGAAACAGTGGAAGGACAACGTCAACCTGGCCTGGAGTATCGCACCTTTCCTCGCTATGCAGTTACCAGCAAGGTTGTCACTCCGTCCTTGTTTGTGTAATGCCTTTTCCAAAAACTAGATGAACAACATGTAACATTATGAAAAAGAAATACCACTTTCTCTCATCCTGAAATGAAAAACTGAACCCTTTAGGAATAGATCTCGCCCCTCAGGTCAGTAGCTTTGGTTTCTGCTCGGTCTGGTGTGACCAGTAGCTTGTAGCGGCTAATGTTAGCAAACTAACTATGCTACTGTTAGGGCCAGGTTAGGCTAGACATCACCAGGTTTGTATGACCTGGGGGGGTGGGGGTGATCTCACAGGTTCTCTTTGAAGACACTCATGAAAAGTCACACAGTTGGTTTCCTGAGCGGAGAGCTGGAGCCTTTATAGATTTACATCACCACAAATGTAAACTTGGTTTTAAATCACATTTTCTTGCTTGTGGAACAGTCGGGGTTTTCAGCTCATCTTCTCACCGGTCGTTGTTCAGCAAACGTTATCTTACTTTAAAATAACCCTTTAGGGAGAAAGCAACGAATCTTTTACCTGTGTCAGATTATGGACTACTTGGTTTTCAGGTTTAAAAACGATGCTATAGTTGCTGAAGTGACCAGGCTGGTGAGACTGGACCCTGGAGCAGTCAGTGATGTACCTGAGGCCGTCAAGGTGAGATCACTCACCTGGTAAAGCTCACCGGATGAGTGTTAGATCTGAGTGAGTAATTGTTTTCTTTCACTGCCGACCAGTTCCTTGTGACGTGGCACACTATCGATGCTGACTCTCCTGAGCTGAGCCATATCCTGTGCTGGGCACCGGCGGACCCACCCACTGGGCTGTCCTACTTCAGCAGCATGTACCCTCCTCACCCTCTCACCGCCCAGTATGGGGTTAAGGTGCTGCGCTCCTTTCCTCCAGTAAGTCACAACCTCCTCGGCTCAGAGAGATTCATTTTGTCTCCGGTGCTTTTACCTAAACAGCAGCGTGCCTCTTTAACAGCATGCTTGTTGTTCCTCTTCTCAGGATGCCATCTTGTTCTACATTCCTCAGATTGTGCAGGCGCTCCGCTACGATAAGGTGAGTAGCACTGCCTTCACACAGTTCGAAGGTGAAAGAAAGTTGTATACTGTAATTTGTAATGAGCTGTGAGATGTGTTGTGTCCTTACAAACTGTAGGACAGTGCCTTTTTCTTACAAAGACGTTTGTCATATTAAGATAATTCACCAGAAGGATAATCAGTCACTCAGAAAGAGGAATGGTTAATGATGATGTGCTTGTTTTGATAATTAATTATGTATAAAGCAAAAACTCTCACGCTCTGTATCACTGTGAACTGAATATCTGCAGGTTGTGGACTGTTGACTGGACAAAATCAGGACATCTGAAGGTGTCACTTTGGGCTCATCCTCATTTTGTCCTATTTTCTAGATTTAATCATTGAGTTATCAACTAAGAAAATAGTCACAGATGAAAATAAGACTCCAGCCTTGAGTAAACCTCCTCTCAGGGCCAGTGTTCCATTAGCGGTCTTAGTGTTACCTTTAGGTTAATTCATTAAAAAAATCAAAACCAAGGATTAACAAGGACCTTTCAAGTCTAATGATTAGAGTCCAGTACGTCTCATGTGACTGACTTGAACCTCCAGGCAAAAGGAGCGCAGCAATGCTGTTGATCTCTGGTTCTCTGTCCTGCTCAGATGGGTTACGTGAGGGAGTACATCCTGTGGGCGGCCCAGACGTCTCAGCTCCTCGCACACCAGTTCATTTGGAACATGAAGACCAACATCTTCATGGATGAGGAGGGACACCACAAAGACCGTGAGTGGAGAAACAATAGATGATCCACCACCTCTGCAGCTCCCTTCTGTGAAGCTCTTTAACCTCTTTCAGCTCATTGTTTTGGTTCTGCAGCCCACAAACTCTGTTCATTAGCTTTGTGTCCAGCTGCATCAGGAATCAGCTCTTTTCAGAGCAGACGCTCTAAACAGCTGCCGTCCACGTCCTGCTTGGCAGCAACCAGCAGACAGAGCCGGTCAGAGACCAGCTGGGGAACACAGTGGAGCGTTTAGCAGCTCCAGAGCCAGAGGTTTCCCCCAGGAGGTGGTGGAGACCAAACCCAGAGCGAACAGAGAGGGAGCACTGGGCTGAGTTTCATCAAGGGGACACGAACACACTGCATATAAATACAGATGTTTGCTGACACTCATATTTACATCTGTTGTTTGGCAGCTCAAGTCAAGAATGTGTGTTTAATGCACAGCACAAACTCTTTGAACCATGTTACATTTGTAGTTTTTAATTAAAACAAATCCTATTTAATAATTGCAAGTTAATGTTTTAACTAAGCCTATTATTTATTAGCCAAGCTATACGCTACATGCTGTTTTATTTTCTGCCATGTTTCTAATACACACTCTTATTAAGGTGTAGTTATTATTGTGTCTAATGGGAAAAAAGCCACAGTGGGTCTAATCAAATCAGAGTAAGTGGATGTAATCACGCTTCCTCATTCCCGATGTTTGTGTGTGTGTAGCCGACATCGGAGAGCTGCTGGAGCAGATGGTCGAGGAGATCACTGGCTCTCTGTCGGGTCCGGCCAAAGACTTCTACCAGAGGGAGTTTGACTTCTTCAACAAGATCACCAACGTGTCCGCCATTATCAAGTAAATTTATTAAGTCGTACTCAAAATCAGCAGCATCCCGCCTGCTCCACAAGCGAGAAAATGTTCTGGTGAAGTGTAAAAGCCTGATGTGTGTCTGTTTTTCCAGGCCAGTTCCAAAGGGGGAGGAGAGGAAGAGGGCCTGTCTCAAAGCTCTGTCGGACATCAGAGTCCAGCCAGGTGACGAACTGGTCCTCAGCAGCTCTGTGTGGAGGTTTTAAAAGAGCAAGCATTTTCAGTTTCTTAAATGACTTTAATAAATAATCAAGATCACAGATAACAGATATAAACGATATTCATCCCCGACAGATTGAAGTGTCCTTCCATATGATGGAGTGACTCTGTCTGAGGGGCCATTGTGTTGTGAAAACATGAGCTATTAAACTGGGAATATGTGAATATTTGCTGCTATAAATGTGATTCTCTGGTGTCTCTCTTGGTGTTTTCTAGGCTGTTACCTGCCAAGTAATCCTGAAGCCATAGTGCTGGACATTGACTACAAATCTGGAACTCCCATGCAGAGGTAATGACTTTTCATTTATGCTTTTGATGCCACTGTACTTCTGAGGACTGAAACCTTTTCTCGTGCTGTGTCCTCTGTCTCATGGGAGTGTGTCTTCTGTCGTCACAGTGCCGCCAAAGCGCCCTACCTGGCAAAGTTTAAGGTGAAGCGCTGTGGGGTGAGTGAACTGGAGAGAGAGGGTCTCCGCTGCCCCTCTGACTCTCCGGACGACGAAGAGGAGAATCCAGATGGATCACACAAGGCTTGCTGGCAGGCCGCTATCTTTAAAGTGGGAGACGACTGCAGACAGGTACCAGACTTTACTGGAACATGTCGCAGGGAGAAGCTCTCAGTTCCTCCTGTGACCCTCCCATGTTTCTCTGCTTCCTCCAGGATATGCTTGCTCTGCAGATCATTGGGCTTTTTAAGAATATTTTCCAGCTGGTGGGCCTGGATCTGTTTGTCTTCCCATACAGAGTTGTGGCCACTGCACCAGGGGTAAGACCTCGCGTCTCTCTCCAAGCACAGTTTGTCATTACGTATACCTCCTTTATCAGTTAAGTGATTTGTTTCCACAGCCTGGACCTTATTTTTGTAGTTATGGCCATATTTTTCTTTTAGTTATGATTACATGTTATTGGTTACTCAGTTTAAATGTTGAGATGTAGGATCATGACAACGGTGCTACACAGATCGTTACATCAGGTTAAGGGCAGGAAGTCTGGCTCAGCGTTTGGGTTACACTGTTAGTGTTCACGTACTGTAGATACCTAGGTGGATTAAACTGAGGACATGTTTAGAGCCTGTCTCATCACTTGTGTGGTTTGCCAGTTTGCTCCATGTTGTTGCACCCCCCCCGATTATGAACTGATTTCCTTTTCCTCAGTGTGGTGTGATCGAGTGCATCCCAGACTGTAAGTCCCGAGACCAGCTGGGCAGACAGACGGACTTCGGGATGTACGATTACTTCCGTAACCAGTACGGAGATGAAACCACCCTCGCCTTCCAGAAGGTGGGGAGGTTTGAACCTTTGGCATCAGACTTTTCTCTCAGCTTTCACTTTGTTTCTTTCACAGTGATGGTTCACTGTCAGCCTTGTCCTACACACAGTAGGTCTCGTCTCAGTGTCTGAGATTAGTGCAGACAGAGAAACATCTGGAGACTGAGCTGCAGTAAAATCTCTGATCATGCATCAGTAAATCAGTTTTAGTTGCACAGCAGTGAAACAAACAGGATAAAGCAAAGCACATCAATATGAAATAATAAAAGTTCAAACAGTATCTGTTAGCTTTGCATATTAGGAACCACGTCTCCACTTCTGTGTATTTTGTGTTTGTCTTTATGCTTGTGAATTGTCAAACATCCGTGTAGTGCGCTTTCGATTTACAGTGAGCGGAGCAGAGCACCAGAACGGCCTCAATAAAAGATTTGTAAAATAGACTCATCAAAGGCACATTGATATGAAACTTAGTCACGTTTTTAAAATGCTGATCCTACTGCTAAAGGTAAATTTATGGTTTATTACCGTGTTCAGGTTCATATAAGACCTGAGCATTAAAACTAATGCTGCTCAGGATGTGACATCCTCTTCTCCGTTCCTCAGGCTCGGTATAACTTCATCCGCAGTATGGCCGCCTACAGCCTCCTGCTCTTCCTGCTGCAGATCAAAGACAGACATAATGGCAACATCATGCTGGACAGCAAGGGCCACCTCATCCACATAGGTACGGTGTGGTGCGAGGACACGGACCTGCTGTTTAGCTGTGGTTTGGACGGGGTCTGTGTGTCTTGATCAGTTTGTAGTTTTTGCTCATTTTCTGAAGCGAATCCAAAACTCGTACGTTTATCTGCCCTGTTGATTGATCTCAGCTTGTGACCACATTAACCTGTCTGACACTGGAGGTCAGAGTAACAGAGGTGACTGACTTTTTTTCTCCAGACTTCGGCTTCATGTTCGAGAGCTCTCCTGGCGGGAACCTGGGCTGGGAGCCTGACATCAAGCTGACAGACGAGATGGTGATGATCATGGGAGGAAAGATGGAGGCCACACCTTTCAAATGGTTCATGGAGATGTGTGTCAGAGGATATCTGGCTGTACGGTAAGAAAGAGAAAGGGCTCCCCGCCATTGTTTGGCCTCTTTGTCACAGGAGAAAGGAAACACTGTCAGTTTTCATAAGGTTTATGTGTATAACCGTGGTTCTCTGAGGAGACGTGTATAACGTTGGCTTTAGGGGAGTTTAGTGACCCCGGTTCTCTGAGTGTCAGGAGTGAGACTCAAACACATGCTGTGAAAGAGAACCTTTATATTGTGGCTTAAATGATCCTGTTCCTATCTGTAAGTTGTCAATACTGTTTTCTGTTGTTTGCTGCTTTCCTGACCCGCAGTCCCTACATGGATGCAGTGGTTTCTCTAGTGACGCTCATGCTGGACACCGGACTGCCGTGCTTCAGAGGACAAACCATTAAACTCCTCAAGTACGTCCAGCAGTCTGTTTGTGCAAAAGACAAAACCTGTCTGATTCTGAATGCAAGTGTCTTTTTATGTTTTTATCAGAGGACGGTTTAATCCACAAATGAGTGAGAAAGAAGCAGCAGCGTTTATCATCAAAGTCATCCAGAGCTGCTTCCTCAGTAGCAGGTGAGAAAAGGCTCCGTCCCACCCCTGTGCAGCTGTTCTGCTGATATCACATGATGTGTGTCACAGTGGTGTGAACAGCAAATGATAAGGACAGTGTTGCTCTGTATTTGTCTTGTTTTCCTGACGAGACAAGGGCCAGGGCAGCTGATGAGAAGCTGCACTGGCCCTAACACCAACCCTCTGAGCCACAGAGGGAGGAGAGGGATCAGGCTAAGACATGTTTCATTGTTGGTTTGGGACTTTTCTTGGGGTAATAACATATCACCAAATTTCTACTTTAACACCAGCCTGGTATGCAAATGTGACAGTTTGAAGTGTTATGGTGACAGATTCTCTGTAACTTGTTTTCAACAGGAGCAAAACGTACGACATGCTGCAGTATTACCAGAACCAAATTCCTTACTGAAGACCTTCTGCCAGACTTCCAATACAAACATCTCCACAAGAGCAATGCAAACCTTCTTTTGAATGATTTGAACACAGTCCTGCACCTTGCAGGTACCACTGTGCTCCAGTGGCAGAGACGATAATGTGGCACTTTGATCCAGTTTTATTCAGCATACTGTAAGATTTTATAACGTACACCTGAATTTTAAGGTCATTTTATTTAACTTGAGAGTAAAAAAACAATGTATGACTTGAACCAAAAGAGGTATTTGAATCACCCTTTAAGTATTTCAAGCACTAATGAAATGCTCACACTATGGAGCCATATTTACAGTGATGTTTCAACAGCTGGTGTCATCATTGTCATTTTGTTCCTATGCTGTTTCCACTTTTATGCACTTTACAGAGCATCATATTTTACAAACAGATTTAATCGAGATGAAACATTAGAGAGTAAAACAATCAGTGGTTTAACACAAGCTGGTCACAAAGATCTAAAATCACTTCAGGAATCATTCATCACTGCTCTCACAGTGGTCTGTAGAAACATATTTAGAGAATTATGCTGTAGCATTGACTGTAGAATATTTACTGTAGAATCACATCAGGATCACGGGGATTTGATCTGTGATGAACTTAGAGTTGTATGTGGAGAACATATTTATCAGAAGGATTTAAAACTTGTAACTGTGCTGCTTTGATGCTTCTCATACCTCTTCATGTCCGTCTTCACTGCCAGCTGTTACCTAGCGACGTTTTCCACCACAGGAACTTGGCAACCTGAACCTTTAATAGCCTGTGGGGCTGTGATGCTGAAGGGCCCGACTTGTATTTCCACCTGAGTGTTGGACATATGTCACTGAAAAGGGGACTAAGGAAAACGTTGTCTTTGTTTAGTCACTGTTTCATAGGTAGGTGCAGCTGTGGGACAGACGACATTGTTGTTGTACTGATGTAGCCCCAGTTTGTTCCTGTTATGTATGTGCAAATCTGATCTGAAGAAGAAGAAGCACTTCAAGTTCCTGTTGTGGAAAATGCCACTAGACAGTTGCTGCTACAGGACGAGTTCACTGGCTTCATCACAGCCTGCAGTCTCAAATATAGACCAAGATGTATAAACACGTACTCGGCCCCCTTCACTGTGTGCACCGCAAAAATGTCAAGAAGCATCACTTTGTTATCATAGGTTACTGGGGGTAGAATGATGGACAAAAACGACAGTTTCATCCGTTCCTGATTTACAACACTGTCCAGTGTGGAAGAAGGGAGATGGTCCGAGTCCTGAAGCCACAGTGTTTTAGTTCTGTCCAGTGAAATGTGTCAGAATACATGTGTGTAACCTGTTTGGAAACGTTCTGGTGAGATGGTCTGAGTCCTGAAGCCACAGTGTTTTTATCCTGTCCAGTGAAATGTGTCAGAATATATGTGTGTAACCTGTTTGGAAACGTTCTTCTCTGAGAGTTTGACTCGTCTTCGCTGATCTTGCCTTCACCAGATGACGGTTGTACCTTAAAAGCCATTTCACTACCCTCTGGTAGAAACACAGCTGTAGTAATACTTGACAAAAAGCTTATGCAATATATTCATGTGTATTGATACTGTGTTTGTATGTTGTGTTAACAAATGAAGTTGTAATTCCAGATGTGTGAGAAGTGTGTCATGTTGCAGTTTGACTTCCTGCTCTACACCCGAGGGGTGAGTGAAGAGGTTCAGCGTTTAGTCGATTATAAGGTGGCCCGTTACTGCAGTCATCACTTCTCAACAAAGCCATTTTTATTCATGTTATTTTACTGAGCTGCTGTCATTTTAAATCTGTTCGTCATCCCTCATGTCCCCTGTGTTGGTCACTGTGTGTGGGCGTGTCTGTCTGTATTGGCTCAGTTTCTGGTCCCGCCTTTGCCGGTTCTGATGAAGAAGATGCTTCTGATTATGTGTGAGAAGTCGTTATTTCCACATTAAATACATGAACATTTCATCTGTGTCAGGCTACTGATGCGCAGTCGGGTCCATAGTATGTGGACAGTGACAGGGTTTTCACCATTTTGGCTCCGTGCACCACCATGTGGCTCTGAAGTGAAACAGTCGAGCTGTGATTTAAGTGCAGACTCAGCTTTAACTTGAGGTTTAACAAGTGGTTCCTCCTTTGCACAGTGAACAGGTTTTGACCTGTTTCCCAGGTCGTTACCGTTTCCTAACCAGGAGGTCGGTGGGCTGCCATCCGTGGTTTGATTTGGCAGCACGGTCACAATTTGGGAAATGAGTTGAACTCTTCTTTTAAATCATTCAGTCGACTGGATATTTTATTCTTCAGGTGGTTAGAAGAGTCTTTGACTGCAGAGATGCCTTCAGATCAGTGGTAAATGCTTCAAACTGCCTTCTGGCTGCATTAAGAGCCAACGTTGGCTCTTTGAAGAAGTGTTTAGTTTAGTCTGAGATAAGAAACGCCACTTTAGACCCCTTGTGCACATGGTGCTGGCTGATGTTCACTAATAAAGATCTAAATTGGACTAAATAGGAAATAAATTCTAAAGATAAATTTATTAGGAACATTTGCTGATAGTTCTATTTTAACATGGAGTCGATCTGGTTTTAAGGTTTAGTCTTTACTACATTATGTTTGAGAGGTCAGTCACAATTAATTTCATTGTATTGTAGTTTATGAAGTAAGACAAAAGAAGAGGCCCCTGAATCTTAGTCTGGTCCCTCCCCTGGGACTAATTTGCCTCGGGAGACCCTACCAGAGGCTAATGCCCTGGACAGCACAGCTCCCAGGATCATTGGGACGTCTCCACCACGTTAAGGTGGCGATTCCAGGAGAAGCCCTGCCTGAAGCCCGGCCAGTAACCCCTGGTGGAGGGTTTGTTGGAGGCTGCACCAGGTGCCAGAACCCCCGCCAACTCTAGACTTCATTGTCAATATTTACAGTAATATAACGTATTAAATAGATCAAATGTACTTTCAGAGGACATTCTTACTCTACGTCATATCAAGATTATTTGATCACTTCATTTCAAAATACACAAACGCCACTAAAACCCTGATTGTTGTGCTGCTCTGGTAACCTCACTGTTTTACCTGGTGTGATACAGATGCTTTCATTTTAAAATTAGTTGTAAAATACTGTAACTCCCTCCTGTTGCCTGGAGCTGCACATCTGGTGGTCACCGGGCAGGGCTGCTCCATATGATCATGTGTTTTTGCACATTAAGTCTGTAGACCGTATTTAAAATGTCATGTATGTCACATGCTTGGTGCCACTGGCAAAGATATGTGGGCTGCTTCCATACGAATGTGACGTTTTGTTCAAAGGCTTTAATTTAACTCTTGATGCTCAATAAACTGAAATGTCTCAGAACATACAGTTAATAAACTTTAACATCCTCATTTTTCTAGTGTAGTCATTAGAAACAGCTGTTCAGGTAAAGATTAAGATACAACGTACTATTTTTATTTAGGATTTAAACCCTAATCTAGAGGCATTTCTAAACTTTAAATCACATTCCTACCACATCACCACAGCCTTAGGTCACTGGGAACCAGAGCAGTCCTGTCATTCAACATGTTTTCAGTGTCATACACTTGTATGTAAACGTAAAGTATCTTCGACTGTTCATCATATAATCAGCTCGACAGTACTTGCTAATCTGGTTTTCTGGAGAATTTTCTTGAATGTCTCATCAGATTGTTTTATTGTTTTTCCTTGTGTTCTTTACAGCTGCGGCTAATCGCAGTGAGTAACACTGGGACGACAAAATAAAAGAAAACGTGACAAATGCCCATCACACCATCCCATCCACAGTGACGACCTCACGTCAATGTTTTATTTGACTAAAAACACTTTTTATGGTTTAAAAATGGTTTCATCACAAGAAACAGTACGATTAAAGTAATGGATTATATACAAAACCAAAAACATAATCTATTTATAAAACGTGTCAGAGATGATGATTTTGTTTTTCTGATGCTATGTCTTGACTAGGTCTGTAATAATTTAATGATTGATTAGTTTTGTGATCCGACCGAAGGTGTGACACCTGGTTTTGTTACGGGCCGCGCGGTGACGCTTCAGTTGAGCCTCCGACAGGTACACTACCCCCTCTGTGTTCGGTGACGTCACAGGGATGGGCAGGTCACGTGGCTGTGTCCGAGGGAAACCTGCGGTTTGGTGAAATGGGACAGAGAAGGCAGGGAAAGGACGAGAAGCGACGAAGGTGAGTGACCTAGACTCTGGTTTTACGGCCTTATTGAACGTATCGAGCAGAGCCTACAGTTCACTGGTGGTTGGGGCCGGTTCGTTGTGACAAACGTCAGGTTTTATGTCGAAAAGTCGGCGGTAAACAGCCTAAGGTCGACACGTCGGGGGAGTTCGTCTGTTCGGTCGCGGCTGTTAGCGAAACCGGATCAGTAACAACCGTAGAAACTGTTAAAACGTCTCCGGGCCGAGCCCCCGGCTGTGAGCCAGCTGGAGGTCCACCGGGTGGGACTCGTTAGTCGTCTACGTCTACGTCTACTTTACTTTTCACGTCTCTTCGCTGCTGCTCCGCTACGTTTCATATACTTGAGTTTGTTATGGACACAAACCTCATGACGACCGGACCGTGTACAGGAGGATGTCGGTTTCTAAATCTACTGCCGCTGTAAACAAGTCGGTCACGGCCGAAGTTAAACTGTTGTTACCGAATAATTCAGCTTCTCACACCGTCGCAGTTAAAACAGGTGAACTTTAACCTCAAACAGCTGCCACAGTGAATCCAGCACCAGGAATATGAAGTAACTTTTTACAGTGTGGTACGGGAACAGCCAGAAGAACTTTTTACAGTGTGGTACGGGAACAGCCAGAAGAAGAAGAAGAAGAAGAAGAAGAACAAGCACTTTGAGTTTATCCGTGTGCTGTGTTATCACAGATCAGCTTCCTGATAACCTGAACAGGTGTGTGTCTGACTCCACCTGGTGCACTGTGAGCCCTCGTCCTGGTTTCTACTGGCACCCAGTCACAGAGTGGTGAGATGATGGTGTTCAGACTGGAGCCAGACTGGGCTTGTGGGTCAGGAGGTCACGGCCGTGGAGCAGCTGTCAGAGATCGGCCCAGTGACAGGACACCACCAGGAATGATCTCTAAACTGAATATCATTAAAGAGAAAAGCTGCCTTCTGCCTCAACCGATTGGGGCGAGTGGATAGAGGAGAGAGAAGAAAAGCAACAAGACACAACAATCAATCAAACACTGATCAGGTCGATGTGGCTGGGGACTGCTCGTCAGAGACGTAGAGCTCCAGGGCCAGAAAGGTACAGGGAGAGAGAGAGAGAGGAGACGCTACGAGGGGAGAGAGAGAGAGGAGACACAGTTATTCAAAGTGATTGTGTTCTTTTGTCATGTCAGTGGTATTTAGTTGTAGTCCTGATGTTTTAGTTTACCTTTCTGCAACACGCCCCCTCATGCACCTGTCCATCTATTTACACAGAAACACACCTGTAGTCTGGTCAAAACCATTTCGCTCCTTGTTCAGTTAGTAAGTCACCAGAAAGTCGATCAGTATTTTTGAAAATCACCAAGGCGCCAAGGTCAGCTAATAATCAGATGTGCCAAACATTTCTCTGCCCTTTTTGTTTGACCCATGTGGATTAAATATCTGTACGAGGCGACGCCACGGTCTCACCTCAGGGCCCGTTCTCTAGCTGGAGCTTTCTGACACATGGTCTTCATCAGCAGCTCTCATGGACGTTGTGTCCACCTTTCCATTACTCTGAGCACGTTCAAGTCTTTACATCCACGTTAAATTTCAAAGTTCATTTTGATTTCAGAACTCACTGGTCAGTTTATTAGGAACCCCTGTGTCAGACTGAGTCCGTCTGATCCACCAGTGCTGCATTGGATCCTCCTCCATGAAGGCGATGATGCTCAGGTTGTGTTCAGACTGTTTCTCAGAGGTTCACCTGTGCGGTCACTGTGGAGGCTGCAGGTTGTGCTGCCGTTCAGCTTTGCTGCGTTAGTTTGTCCGCCCCGCTTACATCACCATACTGAACAACAGAGACCTCTGTGTGTAACACTGCACAGCCTCCAGCCTCACGCAGCTGAAGCCGCTCACACAAAACAGGAACCAAACGTCCCTTTGGGCAGTTGAGAGCATCCAGGTCGCTCCATCGTCACATCCTACCATCTTTGTCTTTACAGGTGATTCCTGGACTCACTGTACGTACGTTCATACCAGGTTTGCATTCTGCCCTGCCAGCCAATGTAAGTGGTGTTGAGTGACTGCCTGTGAAAGAGGTACTGATGCACACTTCATATTTTATAATCTCTTGAGATCAGATGGGCTTTTGAGGGCTGACTGGCTGTAAGAATGTATTTGTGTGCTGCCAACAACAGACACCGGTAAGTTGAGCTTGTGGACACAACACGTGCGCTGTTATTGTTACAGCGGCAGGGGAGTTCGACCTGCTCCTGATTTGGTTGCAGCACAGAAATGCATTCTTGACTCAGCGTGCATGGAGGATGCTGGGATATAAGGTCTGTGTGGTGGCCTGAGGAACTGGGGGTTGGCTGTGTGTGTTGGGTACTGCTGCCTGTAGGGGGACATGATCTGGCATGAACGATACTGTTGAATGTCCAGAGTTTAGTTCATCTTTTGGCTTCTTCCTTTATATTTCCTCTTCCTTTGTCAGCTGAGTTCTGTCTTAGTGATTATAAATGGTGACAATATGACGTGACGGGTCATTGTGAGAAGATAACTGAATTGTTTAATAATTCATTTATTTACAAGCAAAAATGCCAGAAGGTTCCAGCCTCTCGGATTCCTTGTTCTGTTTCCTTATTATTGTAAGATAAACATTTTTGTTTTAGACTGTTGGTCAGACAAACAGGAACATGGGGGGGTCCTTTTATTTTAAAACTGTTTTCTATACAATAAGATAAAAACATTCATTGGAGCTCCGGCGTAATCCTTTATTGTACTAACATTTGTCAATGAATTTGACTGATCACATGATGCAGCAGCACGTTAAGAAAACAAACTAAATGACAAAGTTTGCTAAGAACAATACTGGTCTTATGTTTAGACTGAAAAACAGCTGCTTTGGAATCGAGGCGGTTCAGTATAGGTAACTAGTGGCAAACACATTAAAACCAGAGCTTCATCAGTCAGACACTTTATTTGTGCCACAACTGAATCATTTAAAATACACGAGTTAAAATGAAAACGGTACTCGGCCATATTCTAAAGTTTTGATCTGTCGATTCTTAAATCATCGATTATTCTTCTGGTTTATTAAACATCAGATGATGAGTCCTCTGCAGAGGACATCTTTAAAAGTCCTGTATTGTCCAACCAACAGTCGAACACCCAGAGGTTCTGATCATCCTCACACTGGAGAAGCTGGAACCAGAGAAGGTTTTGGTTCTTGGCCTGATAAGTGGACTCGATCACTGAAATCAGTTATTAAGTGTTGGAAATCAGTTTTTTGTCAGTAAACTAACTGTGAAGGCAGCATCTTAAGAACGTGTGTGTTCTCTCAGGGACCATCACCATCCTCATGTCCAACGGACGAGGCTTATACGGACGCACTGAGCGAGACCGCCAGGCGCCCTACTATGACCAAGTACCACAAGGCTCCCTACCCCGACAGAGCTCCTACGATCCACTGCCGCTGAGAGAGCAGAGAGCGCATCGACTGGCTCAGAGCGCCGACCCGCTCCCACCCCCGCCTCTGCCAGACCAGCCACCCGTCGGCCCAGAGTTTGATCCCAGCGGCCCTGAAGACCACCCGCCGGAGCCCGACCCCGCCATTGACATCAAACCTGTCCACCGCTTCATCCCGGAATCATGGAAGAGCTTCTTCAGAGGGAGTAACAACAGCAGCAGCAGCAAGCCGTGGTCCATGCCCACCTCCTCTAACAACACCAACAATACGACAGAGGGGGTGCGCTGCTCACCTCCACACTCCCCCTCTGTTCCCGGCTCGTACCGGGATCCCTATGGCGGCTCGGGCGGCAGCTACAACTCGGGAAAGGAGCTTCTGGAACTACAAGGCGCCCCGGAGTCTGGCTCAGGGCGCACCTACCGCACTGCTCTAACCTACAGCGAGCGGGTGGAGGAATACCATCAGCGCTACGCCTACATGAAGTCCTGGGCGGGGCTGCTGAGGATTCTGGGCTGCGTGGAGCTCCTGCTGGGGGCAGCTGTGTTTGCCTGCGTCTGTGCTTACGTCCACAAAGACAACGAGTGGTTCAACATGTTCGGATACTCATCTCCTGGAAGTGCATATGGAGGAGCTTACTACGGCGCCGGCACAGGCGGGGCCTACTACACCGGCCCCAAGACCCCGTTTGTGTTGGTGGTGGCAGGGCTGGTCTGGGTGGTGACCGTGATCATGCTAGTGCTGGGGATGACCATGTACTACCGCACCATCCTGCTGGACTCCAACTGGTGGCCTCTGACTGAGTTTACCATCAACCTGGCGCTGGCCGTGCTCTACATGGCAGCAGGTCGGTAACACAGCTACACGCACTGAACACTTCCTGACTCGTCCCCGGTGCTGGGTTTCATTTGTCCAGGTTTTACAGTATTTACTTGTCAACACTCTGAATATTGTAAATGTCACGTTTGATGCTTTGAGCAAAAACAAAGTCTGTTCAGCCCCATATTATTATTATTGAGGTGGCGTCAGACATCGCCGAGGCCGATGCCTAGACACCACACTGCAGTGTGTTTGTTTTTTGTTTACCAGGCGTTGTGTATGTGAACGACACAACCCGCGGAGGGCTCTGCTACTACCCCATCTTCAACAATGGCATCAACGGGGCCTTCTGCAGGACAGAGGCAGGCCAGACTGCCGCCATTATCTTCCTCTTTGTCTGGTTTACCTCATTGGAGCCTTGGTCTGTCTCAAGATGTGGAGACACGAGGCTGCGCGCAGGTACCGGGAGAGGTATGCGCAGGTGAGCCCTCAGCTTTGTTTGTGTTTGGTTTATAGGGCCTGGTATCTTCTGAACTCCTGAGTGATTGTTTCAACATCGTCTGGCTTGACATCAGGCTGTTGCTGTAAACACGTTAGCGGACAGACGCGCTGCAGAGCAACAGAAACCACATCAGTTCAGAGGCTTACAGCTGTGTCATGGAGTCTGAGAGTGTACCTGTGCTGGAGGGAGGGGGGGTGCACGCACAGTCTAGGTCTTACTATGCTGTTTGTGTCGTGCACGCTGTGCACCGTGTGGCGTTTGTGTTTTGGCCTCGTAGAGGAGTAGTTGACCATTTTAGGACGTCCTGGTGCATAAACCACAGCTCGATGCATTTACACTTAGGTTTATACACGACTTTAACAGTATAGAACCTTTACTGAGTGTTAAAGGTGCTAGTGTGTGTATTTTTGGACAGAGCCAGGCTCCCCGCGTCGTCTCCCCGCGTCATCTCCTCGTGTTTCCAGTCTAAACTAAAAGTCTGTCTTGTCTGTAGCTTCATGTTTATAGATGAGAGTATTCACTGTGCTTTCCTTTAACTCTTAGAGAAAGTAAAGGAGCTGCTTTGTTCAAAAGTGAGTCATAATTATTATCTACATGCTTGGTTATATGTTTGTGTGTTGTACATACACAGATGCAGCCCTCTGATTTGCAAGCTGCACAGTCACTGGTGAGCATTTTGTAGCACAAACCCTAATACAAATTAAACCAAGCTGCCATTCTTGTCCTTTTAAAGTATTTTAATCGGTTTCTGTTGCTGTGTCAGATTGTTCCAGCTCCTGCTTCCAAAGCTCCAGAACAGGTCCAAGGCTCCGCGGTCGCTCCCATCCAGGCTGCTCCAAAACCAGTTCCAGCCAAGGTTTTGCAGGGAGCTATACCATCGGGACACATTCCAAAACCCGTCATTGTGGCCGACTACATCGCGTAAGTCCTGCTAAAAACACAGTGTGTTGTATATCAGACTGTAGTAGAGCTTTGCACATCTCACAGTAGCTGCTTCTGCTAACGTGTACTTTCAAACTAATCTGAAATTTGCTAGATCGAGTTTGACCCTGTTACAAACCTTTTCTAGGTGAGACTTAAAGAAAGGTGCTTGGATTCTGCTGCCACCTGTAGCCTCTGCTCTGACACACACACACCTGACTACACTGAAACACTAATGTTAATGAAGCGTGACCCTGTTCCTTCATCCTGCAGGAAGTACCCACCGATCCGGTCAGATGAAGAGCGGGACCAGTACCGAGCCGTGTTCAACGACCAGTATGCAGAGTACAAAGACCTCCACGCAGACATGCAGGCTACCCTCAAGAAGTTCGATGAGATGGACGCTATGATGCGCAGTCTGCCGCAGCACCCGAGCAGCCAGATGGTGATCGCTCACACACATCTCTAACGTCAACATCATACTGACAGTGACCTTCACTTTCTCTTTGTACCTTCTGTCATGACTTGTCTTCCACTCTCTCCATCCCTGAGTCGCTGCAGGGCTGAAAGGTTCACACGCACGCGCACACACACACAGGACAGTTGGGTTTTATCTCTTTTGCCTGACGGTGCATCTTTTGGTTCTAAAGCCGGTTTTGTGTCCAGTTTCACTTGTTTGTTCTCAGATCTAGCTGCTGTTTAAAGGTGCATTCCACTGATTTATTGTGTGAAGATCACTTTACTTGTTGTGAGGAGCAGCTGCTGCTCAGCCTGTATTCATATGACCTGAGGCTGTGGAGGAGCTTCTTAGCTCTGACTGAATAATCCTGGTTATGTCTCAGGGTGTCTCCGTTTGGGTTTGAGACATTTTTAACATAACGTCTGCGTTACCAGCTGAAGGCGTGGCGACCAAAACACATTCTGTCACTTGGTGGGGAAGGTCTAACAAAAGATGCACTGGAGTTGCATTATGGGAATTGTAGGAACCAATGTTTTGGAGTTTAACCATGTTAGGGACTAAAGGTCTGGTCAAAGTTTAGTCTCAAATACTGTTGTGTTTTTATTGTAAGGGGGGGGGGGTTACACAATTGCAGGAGGAGCCTTTCAGAATCTGAATATGCTTTACTCACTATTATGTTCATATTTCACATGAACAGATTAGAGAATATTTGCACTTGATGCAGCAAGGTTTTATCGTGCATGTGTACCGTTTGGTATTTTGGTGACTCGCTGTGTGGAGGAAGGAGAGACACCGAGGGCGGCTGTCACTGGTAATCTGGCAGCGTTTTGCACTTCTGATGTCGAGCTACATGTTACGTCCACTGTGTGCTGTAGGCAGCTGTGCATTTATCACGGTGCAGTGATGCGTTTTGATTTAACACAGTATTAAAATGACTTTCCTCTAGCGTCACCAGGAGGTTGGCATTGTTTTCAGTGAGATGTCTGTTCGACGGATGGTCATGATCACATCAACAGCGTAACACCCGCAGTCAGCTGATCTGCTGAGGTTTGACACAAGGCAAACTTCTCAATAAGATTCTGAATTATGAAGAAATATAACCGTGACATTATGTTATCACCTTTTGGCAGCTACGTCCTGCCCACATCAGACCAGTGAGAAATCATTCTGTGCAAGCGCCCTCACATGGCGCATGCAGCGCGTTTGCAAAGTGCCCAGTTTCCCAGTGTTCTGAGCGGCCGTGCCTCCACCAGCCACACAGATACAGTGCAGCACCACAGTCACAGCGAACTGGGCGGTGCTTTGATGGACAACACTTAGTGCCCCTTCAGTCTGATTCTGTGCGTGGCTCGTGCTCAGACGTAAACTCTGGACCGATTCCACCAGTGTTTGGTTGGAGGCGAGCGCTGAGGAAGCGCTTTGGGCTGACGCTGACTGCGTCTGGAATATTGCATTCAGCCTTTCTGTTGTTCCCCATCCTGTAACTTCCTCTGTTTGCATTTCCTGTTCCCACGGCGTTTCCCCTCCACCCACTAATTCCTTCCCTGCTCCAGCATGAGGGCAGATTTTCACAGCGTCTTTGGTCTAAATGTCATGTTAAATGGTTGTACTGTCTTTAATCAGGTGATCTGCTGTAAGTTTAAAACTGTCTCTCTCTTTTTTGTAGGAGGTCGAGCGCATTAACAAAATCCTTCAGGAATACCAGAGGAAGAAAAATGTGAGCGTGTTGTCAGTGTTTTCTCTCAGCCTGCTGCTTCTGTTAGTTAACGTAGCACTTTCCCTCTAGAGACACGAGGTTCAGTGTCATGTCTGTCAGTGAAGTCGTCTTCCACACACATAATAAATCTCCTATTATGATAGATTAAAGGAGAAATCTGCTGTTGTTTTTGGTTGATGTTAAAATCCCATGAAAAGATGACAACTGTGTGTCAGTCGAACTCTCTGGACTTCCTGAGCTCCCTGCCCTGACTGTGCCTCCCAGTCCTAAGCCCACTGGTTTGTGTATAGTTTCATCTTGATAATTTCCTAAAGCAGTTGCTCACTGTGATTTCAAACAGGAGGAATCAGTGGGGGATGTTTTCAGCAGTGGATGAATCCACATTTGATTTTTAAGGGTTTGTGGCAGCAGGACGGTCTATGTGGGACAGAGCGTCTGGACACAGTGGAGCTCTGTGGCTCAGGGAGGAGACAGATCAGGCTGTGATACACACACAGGACGTGGTGGTGGTGTGAAATCACCGTTTGTCTTTCCATGGGACAAAAAGTATCACCATCAGTATTCCTTAACAGTAGTAGTAGTAGTCATCGAAGCAGCTGCTGCTGAACAGCAGAAGAAATTCAATTTAAATAAACATTAAAGTGACTAGTTTCCTTGGTTTTTCTGAAAATAAGAGCTGAAGTTGATGTTTATTCCTGTCTGTGTTTGCACTCTACCACCCCAGGACCCTACTGTCCTCGAGAAGAAGGAGCGCTGTGACTACCTGAAGAACAAACTGTCTCATATCAAGCAGAGGATCCAAGAATATGACAAAGTCATGGAGTGGAACGACGGATACACCTAAACATCGGTGGCTTCTCTGCCCCAGAAGACCACGGGACACGAGTACTGTTGACAGCTGAGCAGTCCTTGAGGTGGAAAGGCATTTTAACTGGCGCCATCAGGACTACGAAGAGGACTTCCTGCTTTGTCTTTCAAATCTGCATCAAAGTTGTCTAACAGCAGTTTGTTTGTGTGTGTTTGTTAAAGGCACCGGTAGAACATTTTATACTTAAAGGTATAGTTCAACATTTTGGGAAACATGCTTTTTGGCTTCACTGGTGGAGAATTACATGATAAAATCAACACTACTGTTGTATCTGTAGGATAAATATGAAGCCAAGTCCACTATCCAGTTAGCTTAGCACACAGATGAGGGGGAACAGCTAGCTTGACTGTAGCTGTAGCAGGTTCCACCTTTAAAGATCATCAGGATTATTTTTCTTAGAAATAGTCCAACACGTTAATTAGAAGTATTTGTTGTTGCACTTACAAACAAAATATGAACTGATAGTGATCGGCCCCACAGGCGGTCGGGCTACCTGTTTCCACCTGTATGCTAAGCTAACCAGCTGCTGCTTCATATTGACAAAAGGAAAACAAATTAGCACATTTCCCAACTTGTCAAACTGTTCCCCTTAAACTTGTCTGATATGCAAAGACCTGACACTCTGTGATACTGTGATTGTAGCTGAGGCTTAACGCTGGTTTCTGATGTGAATGATTTCCTGTCATCAGTGGGACATGAGAGGACAGAGAAGTATAAAATATGCAGCACAGTTTCCGTCTGGCTCTGCGCCTCGTTACACTTGTCATGTTTGTTGGTTTTCTGCTTTTCCAGATGATGAAAACCACCATTTGTCAGGAGGTAACCCATCATACCGGCTGTGACCATGCATCGTTTTTATTGCACACTGCTTTTTTTTATATGCAACTGTTTACCTGAATCTGGAAATGTGCCTGTTTAGTGGCATTATAAATGCTGTATGCATATTTTGTAACACTTGTGACTTTGTTCTGCCATTTCAAAGATTAAATATTTTGTATTATGCCACTGTCAAAATATGTCCATTATCTTCTTTACACCACTGTAAAATCAGATCTCTAATGGAAAAGCTGTTGTAATGTCTGCCTTCTAATGTTAGATGATATAATTGCAAACATTTTGCTGTAAGTGTCCACGTTCTGTCTTAATCTGGTGCTTTCTGTTCTCAGAATACACTTTTGCTTATGCACTGACAGTTTGGTCTTTTTCTTTGTTTGGGCAGCTTCTTTCACTGGAAGAGAAAGTGCATTGTTTGCACCGTTTGTTGCTGTCGATGCTGCTGTTAATACAGCTTATTTTGTTATATTGCACAGCCTTATGCTGGTTTACTGTTTGCACACTGGGAGCCGATGTACCTGAGTCAAATTCCTCCTGTGTCCTTCCCACCTGGCCAATGAAGCAGATTCTGATTCTGAACATCCCAGAATCTAGCTCAGGTTTCTGAAAAGTGAAACTATTTGTTCTTTAATGTCATAAGATATTATTACTAATTAAACAGAAGCATAACGTCCAGTTTTATCAGCTGATTGGTGGCAAATGAAAAGTTTAATGGTGTATTTCTTTTGCGCTCAACTTGAAATATTTAAATAAAAGTATATTTTTGACTTGACTGATAATTTTACTACATTTTGTCAGTGTTGGGACTCGGTGCTAAGGCAGTGCTAGGTTTTCTGACACATTAAGAGCATTAATAAGATTGATTGTTTTTATATTGTGTTGTTTCCTGTGCCTAGCTCTCCCGGGCTGACGTCATTGACGCTGCAGGTGTTGTAGTGAGCCACAGGTAAAAGCCCAGCTGTGGACGACACCTGTGTCTGGCCTCCTGTCTTTACTGGGAGGTCCCCAGGATGTCTCCATGAAGACGGACTCGGAGACGACTTGTCTTGTTTTGTCCGGTAATGTGACACCTGTGCGTGGGGGCGGAGCTTAGTTGACGGCGAGCTGAGCTCTAGGTGTGGCACGGACTGTTTTTTGTCAACAGCGGCAGTTTCAGGTGAGACAGAGGAGACGACTCTGCGACAGGTGAGTGTGTCGGCTTGTGTTTGAGGGAGTTGGACTTTAATGTTGAAATAGCGTGTTACCTGTCGCAGCAATAGACAGGTGAGTTTTAGTTTAAAATCAGTTATCTTTTTTAAATAAAGGGACTGAGGATACACGTGTTAACGGCGCGGTAAGGTTGGAAGTGGCCTATATTTATTAGGAAGAAAGAGAAACACTTGTGGTTTTATAGCTGTTATGATTGTGACTTTAAAACAGATTAGCGTTAGATCCCAAAGCTTGGGAGCGGATTGTGGAGGAACTCGATTCTGATCCTATTGTGTTTGTGTTCATCTGAACCTGACTTTACCTGTTACAGCTTCCTCCCGATTAAAGATCCACCCTTTATACAAATGTGACACACTGCTGCTAAATCTGACACAGAAAGTTGCTGTGAACACTGGGAATTCTGTGTTAATTGGTTTGAAAGAAAAACAATCATCAATAAATTCATGTTTAAAGCTAAAATGCCAAGCGGTCTCTGGTTCCAGCCTCCTTAATGTGGATTTATTTTTTAATGTTATTTTATTTATGTGATAGTTCAGACCAGAGACACTTTGGACTTCAGGAGATCGTCCCCTTTTCTGGTTTTCTCCAGACCAAAATGATTAATGGAGAAAATAAACTGCAGATGAATCAGTAAAGAAGATCATCATTGGTATTAACAGCTGAAACCTTCTTCCAGATTCTGGCCTCAGCAGCAGTCAGTGGATCCAGCAGCCATGTCCTCCAGGCCCAAAGGGAGTCCACCTCCCTACGAGTTTGATCATGCGAAGTGAGTTTCTGTTGATGATTTTACAGTAAACCCTGGTGTCATTGATCAGTTTGCATGGTTCAGATATTCACTGAGCTCAAGCTCATCACACTGTGTATACGAACAACAAGAGGCCACAGTCATTTGTTGTGCTGAAATGGATCATTACCAAATGCTGATCGTTGAGCATTAAATGCCACAGAGTTTAAAGGGTTTTACAGTTTGATGTGGTTTGAATTTCCCTCCCTTACGTCTTTAGGAGGCAGTTTAAGTTTTAAAATCTCAGAAACAAGATTTATTTTGTCTGGACTCAGAGATTCAAGTTTCAGTGGCACATCTGAGAGAACGTAACCAGACAGACGTGGGATAGATGTGTTTATTCTTCAAACTGATTTTTTTTTTATGCTAACATGACCAACTGACTTTAAAGCTTGTATTGTAAACAATATACATTATATTGTGTAATGCAATAGAGTAGTCTTTAAAAATACTGGACACTTTAATTCCATTTAGATAAAATGTTGAAATCAAATTTTTGACATTACACAGCTTGAAATTACCTCCTGGACATTTTAAACATTTCAAACCACATAAAATAAGAAAAACAACATTTTGTTGCAGTAGAGTTTTGTTGGTTTCCACGTGGCTTCCTGTTTTGTGGATTCTAATCCTCACCCGGGTCATTTCTGCATGTTTCTTCTGTCCCTCTGTTCAGCGCCGCCCCTTCCCAGCCGGCCTACTCTTACTACGCAGATGACGAGTTCCAGCATTTCTACCGCTGGACGTCTCCGCCAGGCATCATCAGGATCATGGCCGTCCTGGTCATTGTGATGTGCGTAGCTATATTTGCTTGTGTCGCCTCCACGCTGGCTTGGGACGCTCAGGGAGCCCTGGCTGGCTTTGGCATCGGGTCCGGCAGCAGCTACGGGTCAGCTTATGGTGGGATGTACAGTGGCGGGGGGGGGAGGGCTGGGGGACGGGAACCTGGGGGGAAACTACAATGACCCTCGCTCAGCCAAAGGATTTATCATTGCCATGGCAGGCATCATCTTCATCGCCTGCCTGGCCATCTTCATCATCATCGTTTCCCACCAGAGCATTTCAGAGGCCAAGAAGTTCTACCTGGCAGTGATTATCATCTGCGCCATCCTAGCACTGCTGATACTGGTGGCCTCCATAGTGTATCTGATGGCAGTGAACCCCATGGCTCAGTCTACCGGGTCGGTCTACGGCATACAAATCGCTGCCATGTGCTCCCAGTTCCAGCAGCAACAGCCATCAGGAGTATTCGTCAACCAGTACCTCTACCACTACTGTGTGCTGGAGCCACAAGAGGTGAGCACACACTCCACTTGCATGTCTGTACCACCACTGGAGGATCCGTTCTGTTTGTAACCCAGTGTGTCTTCTCTCGTTTCAGGCCATCGCCGCGGTGATGGGGTTCCTGGTCGCCGCCGCTCTGATCGTCATGCTTGTCTTCGCCGTGAAGACTCGCCAGAAAATCCAGTACTTCGGCAAGAGCAACATTTTGTGGAGGAAAGTGAAGGTGATCGACGAGACTGACGCTCCTCAGGGTGTAGAGGACTGGGTGAGTGGCAGTGTGTTGTTCACTGAACTTGACTCGGGCTGTGAAGAGCAATGCAAACACTGTGGCTGTTGCTTCTACACTGTGAGGATTTGATGCTTTTCTCTCTGTTGGATCATTTTAAACAGTCGGTTGCACAAAACAAGACGTGAGCACTGTACTTTGGACTCTTTGACATTTCACAGACTGAGAAAGCAGCAGGTAACACAGGGTTTTTATTCACCCTGCTCCCCTCCTGTACACACGGAGGTGATGACATGAAAGCCTGTCATAACTGATTTTGATCATTCTGTTTATTCAATGTGGTTGATGTGAGAGGGGCTGCTGGTCTGGTCTGGTCACACGCTCACCAAACATTTGCTGTTCATAGCTTCTGTAATGTTCATCAAATAATAATAACTTTGTTTATACAGGACTTTTCAAAACACAGTTAGAAGATGTTTCAAAACGGAAACAACACAGAAGGCTAGAAGTGGGCAGTTAGATTAGATATGTAGACATGGGGTGTCTTCTGGTCCAAAGGTCCCTGGGGAAGACGCCAAGCTCCACGTTGCTCCCTGTGGCCAGATCTGCCATCAGTGTGTGAACGGGAGGCAACAACTGTAAAGGACTTTGTTGACTAAGACCAGTGCTATTGTAGTGCAGCTTATTTACCACGTTAATATGGAATAAAACCATGAAATCACTCTAGATAAAAGCAGTAAAACCACAGAAACAACAGTGGCAATGAAAACATAGGACGAGGTTAGAAATTAGACGCTGTAAAGCTGATGCTGTGGAGGGGTAAGCTAAACAGAAGCCTGAAACGAGTGTTTGTGAAACGCAGCGAGTCTGGTTCAGCTGAAGTGGTCCGACCAGTTTGGAGACACTCACCTGTTTGTCAGCGGGGGAGGGGAAGCGCAGGGCGAAAAGCTCCTGTTTTCCTCTGTGCTTGGTTTCAAGGTGTGGCCTGTACACAGCCGAGGTTTCTGTCTCATACAGGCGTGTTGTGAGGTGGGGAAGACTCCAGCAGTAGGTGGCCGCACTCTTCTCTGTCAGCACGTTCAAGGGTTTAAAACCCAGTCGGCACATTTCATGATGAATCACGGTTCCAAAGCTATTTTCAGAAATGTTTTGCAACAGCTCTCATCTGACCTACCCTAGTTAGTAGACATGAGTGAGTGAGTCACTTTGTTCACAGTTGGAAGTCCTGCTGACAATCAGCACAGAGCCCTTGTTTACTGCAAAGCAGTGAAGAGGAAGGTCCGACGCTAAAGCATCCAGCCCACCAGTTAGCAGACAGAGAACACTCCAACAAAAACATGATATGGGGAACCGGGGCCAGTCTGTGAGAGCTGGCTGTGGACACCCACAGCATGTGCACACGTAGGCTGCTGCTCGGAGGGGTGCAGCAGTTAAGTCACGTACCTTCAGAGGACAAGTCTGTGCAGACCTTCATACCCGAGTTCAAAATCAAAATACACTAAATATACATCAGATGTTCACATCTGAGTCGTTGGATGAGCACACGTGGAATTAGAAACTAAAATGATCATTGGTTTTCAGAATTATTGTCCATAATTTATTTGTCAGTTGCATAACTACCTGATTTTTTGCAACTCTAACTTTTTAATGCTGTTTGAATATATGTTGCTAATGTGTGCAATGGTTTTTCTCCTGAAGGTGAACAACGTGTCTGTTCCCCCTGACGAGGTCCCGATGTCCGAATACCCCGAGAACCTACGAGGCTCCAGGAGTCACCTGGATGACGACAGCTACTATGACAAACCCCCCTACAGCTACAGCCCTCAGTGAGTCCACTGCACCGATCATCAGGAGTATAAACATACACTATCATGATGATTTTGTTTTTTATTCATCTAAATCTGCAAAGTAACTAGTAAGTAAAGACTCAAACAAATGTAGTGCAGTAGAAAATACAATACCTGCCTCAGATGGAGTGGAGTGGCAGAAAATGGAAGTGCTTAAGTACAAGTACCGCAAAATGTACTTGATTACTTCCACTTCTAGGTAAAAGTAGCAATATCAAAATAAATATAAGTACCTCAACACTGGGCCCAAGTCCAGACACACAGATCTGTTTACCTGCCTGGTGGTTAAGTGTGCCTTTGGACAGCATCGTCCCACAATGCAAAGCAGTGAAGAAATGACGGATCCACTTGCAGGTGCACAGAAATAAAACGAGTTTAACAGCAGGTTACATTTCTAAACAAGACTGGCGAGGACAAAAGCAACACAGGTGTGCAGCAGACCACACCCCAATCCAGGTGACACCTGACAGGCAGGTGAGGGGACAGAAGCCACTTCTAACTTTGTTTGAATCGTGATCCATGCCTGTGCTGAATTGGGTCAGTGTTATGATCTATGACAGCTCTGGACAGGTTCTCTTCACACTGCTGCAGCTGGAAAACCACCTGGAACTTGTTCTTATGCAGAAATATGGGACAAAGGCACTGATGCTGTTTTCTCTGGATGGACATCATTCAGCAGACACTAGGCTGTGTCCCCGTACCCGACTACATAACTAACTCTGTACAGCTTTAGCAGTTAGACATCAGCAAAGTTTTCCATCCTAGGTTAACAGGAAACGACCAGTGGGTGTTGTTGGTCTTTGGTTCTTGTTACCATTGCTAACTCTGAGAGACGAGACAGTCCAAGTAACTTCAAAACAGTGCTGATTTATTCAAAGGATCACAGGTAAAATTAACATTACACGCTCAGGTATCTTGCACCTCCAAACTGCTCGCAGGCAGATGTAAGATGAAAGACCCTGAACCCACCAGGCCTATATATTATATCACTTTGGTTGGGCTAGCCCCATATTACACAGAAACGTCAACCGAGACGTCTCTGTTGCCAGCTTTGCAGCTGGCCATAGCAGTAGTCAAAACATGAAGCAAATCAATGTGTGTGTGTGTGTCTGTTGATTAAGTGGTGTGTAACTAAAAACATTCTCACACGACCTCTAGTAACATGTCGTGTCTTAAACATAAGAACATATTATGGCTAAGGCTACAGTTCTACACGTCATAATAATAATATTAAACACCCTGTCTGCTGACAGTCATCAACTCTTCTCTCTAGTTATCCTTGACCAGATGTACCCTGTAGAAACTCATAAGCATGACTAAGCATTTAACAGTCTAACTAGACATCCTATCTCCACTAAACATTTCTAATACATAAAGTATCTATCCAATTTCTATCTGACTAACCCTACCTAACAGTGTGATGTTCAATGTCAGTCAAACTTCACAGAGCTACTCAAACTTTTTCCAAGACTTCATACTTATGTTTCGCCGCTTACAGTTTATTTGCCTCCATTTCTTTATGCAATGGACTGAGTGAACAGCACACTCCCAAATCAACCTTACTAGTGTGAACACATTCCAAACCAGATGAGAGTTGGTATCTGGGACATTGTGCAACACCTTCTTAGATTCACCTACATTAAAGCTGCAACTAAAATGTGTTGTCAAATAATCTGCCCACACGTCTCAAAGACCAGAGAATATTTGGTATTTTTACATAAAAAAAATATGTAAATGATTGATTGTCTGAATAATTTCTGGCTAATTGTTCCAGCACAAGTCTCAACATGACGTGCCCTTTAAAGCATTCAGCACTGAAACTACATGAAATACTTTAGTGCTGAGGAGGAAACGGATTCCTGGGTGAAGCAGAGTCTGCTGATGCAGACAGGCTGCGTTTCACTTCCTCCTACGTCATGGATATGGGGGGGACACTGGAAGCTGCCCTACATAACTAATAGGGTTCATTGACACTGTTCTCGTTCTGTAGTTTTACAGTAGCAACAACTTTGTTCATTGCTGTTTAGATGTTCTGTGAAATACCCAAACACTAACTGTCGTTCCTCAGGCCTCTGGTAGAAGAGAACCGGCCTTTGCAGAACGGGGCTCCCTACAGCAGTGCGTCGGAGACGGCCAGCTCCATTGGAAAGCCCAAAAAGAGACGTGCGGGTCGGCCGCGTCGCGCTGATGGACACGACGACACCGACTACAACTCGTCTGGAGACGAGCTGGACGACAACGACTTTGACAGGTAGAAGGGAAGAAGAGACGAGTCTTACTCTCACAATTCAGATTCTTTACTTTAGTATCAGTAGAAATGTCCCAGGGTGAAAATCAGCAACATGTGGTTCTACAATCTAAAGTAAAAGGCAGAGTTTCACTATGTAACACTGACCATGTCACTAGGGCTGTGACGGGATCTCGTTCTCGCGATATCCTCACTTAGTGAGGCTGGCTAAGCTAACGTTAGCAGGCTACCTATAGCATGGATGTATGTGGACAAACCTAATGCTGGTTCATAAACTCTGATGCTGAATGTTTGACCCTTCGGTCCAGGGAATATAAAAAAAACACACACATGGGAAAGCTGATCAGTCCGACCAGTTAATGATCCAGTTGATTCATTTGAAACATTTATTGGTTTCAACCAGTGCTGATGAAGCAGCAATAGGAGGTCAGGGAGACAGATGTAGGAGGAGGGCAGCGAGGTAGAGCTGATTGGTTTTATTGAGTGATCATATTTTGTTTTGCATTGCAAAGTGAGTCCTAAAAGTCTTGGCCGCCTGTCATTGGATTATTTCATCCTGTTTCTGAAGGAAAACTGTGACGTTTCACGGCTGTGTGAGAATCCTACTGTCAGCTTTTCTAGAAGATTCATGAAAATCTGAGACTTCTATTAAAACAGGTTAAAATGATCTAATCACTCTGACAGTTTCACTCGTTACAAGACTCGGACACAAATTACTTGGTAAGATCTGTTTTACAGTGATTGCACTGTGTAAAACTGGCAAAGTAGATCAAGCGAACAGATAAATGTAGTGAAGTAAAAAGTACAATACTGCTCTGAAAAGTTGTACCAAGTGGAAACACTCAGGCAGAATGTTTGTGTAAATGTACTTGGTACTTTGGACCCCTGGACCCCTGGTCTTTTGGGTTAAGAAGACATGTTTTTTCATTACTTCCTCTTGTTTTCTAGTGAATTTCCTCCAATAGAAAATGAGCAGGAGCGCACAGACTACAGGCGTGAATTTGACCGGGAACACCAGGAGTACAAGGACCTGCAGGCCGAGCTGGATGCCATCAATAAGAACCTGTCAGAGGTCGACAAAGAGCTGGACGAGCTGGAGGAGGGAAGCCCTCAGTACCAGGTCAGAGCAGACGGGAATCAGAGGCGATTTCTGTTGGATGGATATTATCACCCTGATTTGTGTGCA